GCTATTCACTGAAATTTTCACTGAAAGTGAAAAATTCGAAATTTTTGTAAAAGTATCAGGAGAACATGACAATCGAGGAGCTATTCACTGAAATTTTCACTGAAAGTGAAAAATTCGAAATTTTTGAAAAAGTATCAGGGGAACATGACAATCGAAGAGCTATTCATTTTCTAACCAATATTTCGATTGATTAGCCATTTACAAAAGAAAAAATTCGAATTATTTAAAAAAAAAAAATGAATGACCGCGGGATCGAACCCGGGCCGTCGGCGTGCTAGCCGAACACGTTACCACTAGGACAACGCGTTCATTTAAAAATATAAATTCATTAGTGGTATATATTCAATACATTAAATAATTTTTTCCATTGAAATTCCACAAGATGTGGTTTCCCCCTTCCGTACGTGCTACAGTCGGCTAAATTTCAGTTAAACAAATGAAAAACAAAAAGCATTCGTACAGCAGAAAATAAAATTCACCCCGTCGACTCGTTTGACAGCCCAGCATTGCAATAAAAACTTGGTTAATAAAAAAAAAACACCCCAGCATACTACGATGCCGCTGGGGTCACTCAAACCCCCAGAACTGAGCCCCTACTTTAATCAGTCTTAAGAGGGAGGGCGCCACACGCAATGCTGGGATTTCAACCCTTGAAAAATTTTCCAAAAAAATTCACCATTCACGGAATAATGAAAATTTCAGGAAAAGGTGAACGGATCTGAGTTACGAAGCAAGCGGCGATTAATAATGAGGGTGAGTTAGCCCTCGGGGCGTGATTTCGAATTTTTTCCTCTACTTTAGTCAATCCTCTTTGACAGAGGTTATAGGGGAGATTGCCAGTGCCTCTACAAAACCTTGCAAAAAATAAAATCTCCGTGGTGATATCCACTTACCAGCCGAGCACTCCGTGCTCTCATCTGTAATTCTTCCCTCACGTGCATTAATTCCCTCGTCATCGGGTTGACTCGCGCAAGCCGTGCTCAAACAAAGAGAAACCCCGCAATTGCAGTGTGGAAAATTCCGTGAAAATTTCTTCCCCCCCAAAGAGAAAAAAAAAAAAAAATAGCGAAGAACTTGAGACGTTGTCAGCCACCCTGGAAAATCTCCATAAAGCCAGCGAAAGAGGTTGAATCCCCTCCCACCAGTGGTTCGTGGCGTGCCTCGCCGAATTTCCAACCCCATCACCGACGCACCTCGTAATCCTGACCAAAAATATATTTAAAAACAAAAACCGCATCGAAGAGTTATAAAAACGGCACTCCTGAGGTCCGATGTCTAGTGCTGAGGTGGTGGATAGTTCCGTTGACCCCCCAGCAAAGAAGCGACGAATTGCAACGACGGGAGGTTCGGACGACAGAGCAACAGTCATGGCGAAGAACGGCTCATCCTCAAAGTCAGATCAGACCCACGAGATCGACGAGGGTTTGTACTCGCGTCAATTGTATGTACTCGGTCACGAGGCGATGCAGAGAATGGCATCATCGGATGTTTTGATATCTGGCCTCGGTGGTTTGGGGGTTGAAATTGCTAAAAATGTTATTCTGGGGGGTGTCAAGTCTGTGACACTCCATGACAACAGGGTTACGGAGATCAAAGACCTTGGAACGCAATTTTACCTCACCGAGGAGGATGTGGGGAAAAATCGCGCTCAATCATGTTATCAGCGTCTCTCGGAGCTCAACAATTACGTTCCCACCAAGTTTCACGAGGGTGATATCGATGAGGAATTTTTGAAAACATTTAAAGTGGTGGTTCTGACGGAGACGAGTCTGGAGAAGCAGCTGGAGATATCTCGAATCACTCGGGAGAATAAAATAGCACTGATCATTGCTGACACCCGAGGCCTCTTCTCCCAGGTGTTTTGTGACTTTGGAGAAGAGTTTCATGTCGTTGATACTAATGGAGAGACCCCCATCAGTGCTATGATTGCCAGCATCTCCAGGGATGGTGAGGGTGTCGTCACCTGTCTCGATGATACACGTCATGGTATGGAGGACGGGGACTACGTGACATTCTCGGAGATTCAGGGAATGAATGAGTTGAATGGATGTGAACCCATGAAGATCAAGGTTTTGGGACCGTATACCTTCGCCATCGGGGACACCTCAGCATTTTCTGAGTATCAGAGGGGAGGAATTGTCACTCAGGTAAAGATGCCCAGGACTCTTTTCTTCAAGAGCTTCGAGGAGTCCCTCAAATCTCCCGAATTTTTAATCACTGATTTTGGAAAATTCGATCATCCAGAGCAGCTCCACCTCGCGTTCCTCACTCTCCATGAGTTCCAGAAGGTGCACAACAGGTTGCCCAAGCCCTGGAACACAGAGGATGCCGAAGAATTCGGGAGGATCAGTGAGATGATCAAGGAGCAATATGGCTTTACCACAGAGGTAAAGGATAATCTTCTCAAGATCTTTGCGAACATCTCCTCCGGGGAGTTGAACCCCATGAATGCAACAATCGGAGGGATCGTCGCCCAGGAGGTAATGAAGGCCTGCTCTGGCAAGTTCTCCCCTATTTTCCAGTGGTTGTACTTTGACGCTATCGAATGCCTCCCAGAGGATTTAGGAGAAATCCAGGAGGAGGATTGTCAACCTGTTGGGGACAGGTATGACGCTCAGGTCGCTGTCTACGGGAGAAAATTCCAGGGAGTGATAGGTGCCCTCAAGTACTTTGTGGTGGGTGCTGGGGCCATTGGCTGCGAGTTACTCAAGAATTTTGCTATGCTCGGTGTTGGAGCTGATGGGGGCTGTGTCACAGTCACAGATATGGATCTTATCGAGAAATCAAACTTGAACAGGCAATTTCTCTTCAGGCCCTCCGATGTTCAAAAATCGAAGGCATCGACTGCTGCACGAGTCGTCAGGGGAATGAATCCGAAAATCAATGTCATAGCCCATGAGAACAGAGTTGGCCCTGAGACAGAGAGAGTTTATAACGACGAGTTTTTTGGCACTCTCGATGGTGTTGCTAATGCCCTGGACAATGTCGACGCCAGAATCTACATGGACAGGAGGTGTGTCTACTACAGGAAGCCCCTGCTCGAGTCAGGAACACTTGGAACCAAAGGAAACACTCAGGTAATTCATTGACACTCGAGGATAATAGATTCATTTAATCACTGGATTATTTGGATTTCAGGTTGTGGTTCCCTTTCTGACAGAGTCGTACAGCTCCTCCCAGGATCCACCGGAGAAGTCCATCCCCATTTGCACTCTGAAGAACTTTCCCAACGCCATTGAGCACACTCTGCAGTGGGCTAGAGATAATTTCGAGGGTCTCTTCCGTCAGGCAGCAGAAAATGCAGCTCAGTACATCGCAGACTCTCAATTTGTCGACAGAACTCTGAAGCTCCCGGGTGTTCAGCCCCTGGAGGTGCTGGAGTCAGTGAAGACAGCTCTGGTGGACGAACGTCCCAAGCAGTTTTCAGACTGCGTTACCTGGGCTCGTTGTCACTGGCAAGATCAGTACAACAATCAAATACGCCAGCTCCTCTTCAATTTCCCCCCTGATCAGGTGACATCAAGTGGTCAGCCCTTCTGGTCGGGCCCCAAACGCTGCCCAGTACCCTTGTCCTTCGATCCAGAGGATCCCCTTCATCTGGACTACATAGTGGCAGCTGCTAATCTCAAAGCATCAGTCTACGGTCTACCCAGGAATCGCAACAGATCAGAAATCCTGAAGATGCTGGAGTCAGTGGTAGTCCCGGAATTCATTCCACGAAGTGGAGTAAAAATCGCAGAAACAGACTCCCAGATGCAGGTGTCCAATGGCTCGGGTAACGTCGATCATGAGCGACTTCAGCAACTCCAGGAGGATCTACCAAAGCCATCAGAGCTCAATGGAGTTACGATAAATCCCCAGGATTTCGAGAAGGACGACGACACGAATTTCCATATTGATTTTATCGTAGCAGCTTCGAATCTTCGTGCTGCCAACTACAAAATTCCACCAGCAGACAGGCACAAGAGTAAGCTCATAGCTGGGAAAATAATCCCAGCCATAGCCACCACCACATCAGTGGTCGCTGGGCTCGTCTGCTTGGAGTTGATAAAACTGGCGAGAGACTGCAGGAACTTGGAACGATTTAAGAATGGTTTTGTAAATCTCGCACTGCCCTTCTTCGGCTTCTCCGAGCCCATATCAGCTCCCAAACTCAAATATTACGACATCGAGTGGACCCTGTGGGACAGGTTTGAAGTACCTGGTGAGCTCACCCTCAAGGATTTCCTGGATTACTTCAAGGAGAAACACAAGCTAGATGTGACAATGCTGTCACAGGGTGTATGCATGCTGTACTCGTTCTTCATGCCCAAGGCCAAGTGTCAGGAACGAATGGGACTTCCCATGTCCGAAGTTGTGAAGAAGGTATCGAAGAAGAAACTCGAACCCCACGTCAGGGCACTCGTTTTCGAGCTATGCTGCAACGACATCGATGGAAACGACGTCGAGGTCCCCTACGTTCGCTATACCCTGCCTTGACTCTCAAAGCCACAATCCACAATTTCTTTTCCCTCGAGTATGAGAGATTAATTAATACTTAATGATGAATGATTAAGTGTTTGAAATACGGAATATAGCCCATAGTCATTTCTACAAATTTCTATTTTATCATTAATACGATTTGTCAGGAAAATTGTCGCAGGTCGCGAGGAGATTTCGGCTTTGAGGGATTTTTGGGGGATCTCAGTCATTTCTTTTTTTCGTTTTTCTTCCTGGATTTGTCAACGCGATTGAAAATTATTTATTTTCAGGGATAACCTCGTTTATTCTCTCATGATTGATAACATGTAAAGTTAATGGATAGAGAGTACGAAATTTTCTAGGTGGTAAAATGATTAAAGTAGTTGCAATTTATAACATTTTCATTCTCTTGCCTAAAAACTTGGTTTTTTTTTTTACGCTCGAGTCCAATATTGCTGTTTTTTATGCCGAAATTGTTGATATCCATTTTTTGGTGTTTAATAGTTTCAACAGCTGTCGGGCATGAAGAAAGAAATTATTTCATTTGAATAATGCAACGAGACACGAGACGATACGAATCAATTCAAATGTCTTTCATTTATTAATGAATAATCATTGGCCAAGCCGTTTGATTATCAATGAAATTGCATTTAAAATTTGTGGAAAGAGGATTTCACGATATAAAAAAAAAAAACATTTAGAAAAAAACACATATTTTGTTTATGATAGAAACACGAGATATTTATTGTATTCCTTCGGATAAAATAAATGTATTTGAATGGCAAGTGAAATAAAAAGAATAACGCAAAATTACGATTTTCATTCAAATTTACCGCTCGGTCCGCCATTTTCAATTATATTTTTTCCCGCCTAAATGATTGAAAATAACGAATTTTCGAGGTTATCTCCGAGAAATGGCGCAGCGTTCAATAACGTGAGTATCTTTTCAGAGAATGAAAATGAAATTATGGATTGAATGATGAAAATTGTGTCCCCAGGTTATTCTTCAAGAAAACGGTCACGTCAGAGGCGCAGAAGGAATCCCCCAGGTACGTGCAATCGATAAGTATTTAGTATGATCGGTCTCCCCCAAGGTCTGTCCACTCTGTGTAGACAAACTCGATTACTTAAATTCAGCCACAAATCGCGAATTACTCATGTTTATAATTGCCTCCACCTCAGCATCGTTGACGAGACGAAGGAGAAAAATGGAAATGTGCCCTCCGAGGGGAAGAGAAAGCGAGTGAATGGGAGTAGCAGCAGCAGTAGCACAAATGAATCACCACCAACGAAAAAGCCCTCTAGCATCGGCAAGTCTAAAAAACCAAAGGTCCCGGCTGTGGAGAAGTCCAACAGCACTCAGAGTACACTCTCCTTCTTGAAAGAACCAGCGAGGGTCGCCCCCCAGGTGAAAACACCTCTGGAGAGCTATGGCGGGGACCTCAAGAAGAAACCTGGAAAGAAGAGGTCGAGAATTATCCAGGAAGATTCCAGTGATGATGAGCCACATCTTCCCCTACCCGACAGCCCAGTAAAGTCTCAAAAAAAAAACTCCAGTCCCCCAGACGTGAAGAAATCCTCAAAGATCGTGTCATCGGGTTCTGAATCAGAGACAGTAGAAGACAAAAAGCCCCCGGAAGTTAAAAAAACTCAGCAGATAGCCAGTATTTTCGCGCAGCAATCTCAGAAGTCTCAGAAGCCTTCCCCGAAAAAATTCAAAACATTAGGCTCTGAATCAGGCTCTGAAGAAGCTGATAATAACCCAACAGCTACGAAATCTCCGGATAAAGTTCCCTCGAAGGATATCCGGGGCTTCTTCAGCGGCAAACCTCAAACTACGAAGACAAATGATAAAAAGGAGACGAACAGTCACTCGTACGATCCCAGTGCTGACAAGTACCACCCGATAGAGTCAGCCTGCTGGAAGAGAGGGGAGAAGGTCCCCTATATCGCCCTGACGAGAACTCTGGAGCTCATCGAGAAGACGAGTGCCAGACTGAAGATGGTGGAGATTCTCGGGAATTTTTTCAGATCGGTGATTGTTCTCAGCCCAGAGGATCTTCTCGCGAGTGTCTACTTGTGCCTGAATCAACTGGCACCAGCGTACGAGGGTGTTGAGCTGGGGATTGCTGAGACAACTCTGATAAAAGCTATTGCTCAATGTACGGGACGAACGATGGCGCAGATAAAGGCCGACGCCCAGGAGGTCGGCGATCTGGGAATTGTTGCCGAGGGCAGTCGCTCTAACCAGAGAATCATGTTTCAGCCTGCACCACTGATGGTCCCCAACGTATTCACGAAACTCCGGGACATTGCCCAGATGACTGGCACCTCCTCAGTCGGCAAAAAAGTCGACAGAATTCAGAGTTTATTCGTCGCCTGTCGATTCACCGAGGCCAGATATCTCATCAGATCTCTCGCTGGAAAATTGAGGATTGGCCTTGCTGAGCAGTCAGTACTCCAGGCACTCGCTCTTGCCTGCACCCTGACACCTCCCAACCAGGAGTACCCTCCACCCATTCTCAATATCAGTAAAAAACTCTCCGCGGACACTTTCAAGCAGAATTATGAGGAAATTGCTTTGATAATTAAAACAACGTACTGCGAGTGCCCCAATTACGATCTGATAATTCCAGTTCTCTTGAGGGACGGCGTTAAAGCACTTCCGGAAAAATGCAAGCTACGTCCTGGAATTCCCCTGAAACCCATGCTGGCACATCCTACGAAGGGTGTGCAGGAGGTGCTCACCAGATTCGAGGGGCACAAATTTACGTGCGAGTGGAAATACGATGGAGAGCGTGCACAGATACACGTGGACGAGAGTGGTGTCGTGTCGATTTATTCGAGAAACCAGGAGAACAACACCAGCAAGTATCCTGATATAATAGGTAGGCTCAAATCAGCTGTGAAAAAATCAGTGAAGAGCTGCATTCTGGATTGCGAGGCAGTTGCCTGGGACAGGGAGAAAAAGCAGATACTTCCCTTTCAGATCCTAAGTACGAGAAAGAGAAAGGATGCCAACGAGGCGGATATCAAGGTCCAGGTGTGTGTATTCATGTTTGATCTTCTATATCTGAATGGCGAGGCCCTGGTTACCCATCCATTTGTTAAAAGGCGAGAGCTCCTGAAGGAGCACTTCAACGAGCTCGAGGGTGAGTGGAGATTCGCCACGAGCCTCGACACGACCAAAATCGAGGAGGTCCAGGAATTTCTCGAGGAGTCTGTCAAGGGCAACTGCGAGGGCCTCATGGTGAAGACCCTCGAGGAGGATGCCACCTATGAGATTGCCAAGAGATCGAGAAATTGGTTAAAGCTCAAAAAGGATTATTTAGAAGGGGTTGGAGATACTCTCGATGTCGTTGTCATTGGGGGATACTTGGGGAGGGGTAAGAGGACCGGTACCTACGGTGGATTTTTATTGGCTTGTTACGATCCTGATAATGAGGAGTACCAGAGTCTCTGCAAAATTGGCACTGGATTCAGTGAGGAAGATCTTGCTAAGCACACGAGCCTGCTCAAGGAGCACGTGGTGCCCCAGGCGAAGAGCTACTACAGGTACGACAGCAGTCACGAGCCCGACCACTGGTTCGAGCCCATTCAGGTGTGGGAGATAAAGTGCGCAGATTTATCACTCTCCCCTGTTCATCGAGCAGCCGCTGGCATCGTCGATCCTGTCAAAGGCATATCCCTGAGATTCCCTAGGTTCATCAGGGTGAGAGAGGACAAGAATGTCGAGGACGCCACATCGGCCCAGCAAGTTGCAGAAATGTACAAAAATCAAGAGCAAATTGTCAATCAACAAGCAACTGTCAATGAAGAGGATTTTTATTAATAGTTCCTCCCTTTTTTTTTTTTCTTTTCTCTTTTCCAACGACTTCACAGTATTCAAAGACTTTTTTTTTTATATTATTTACAGTTTATCTGTGAATATTTTTGAAATTGTATGGACGGAATTGTTTTATATTAATATAGTTGTGATATTTTGAATATTTCACTGTTTTATTCTTTATCGTCGGTAAATCTCGTAGATTTATTTTCAATAGATTGGCATGACTTGGAGATCCCACTGTTGCCCACGGAAATTGTCGGTAATGACGTGACCTGTGACAATGCAATTATAAATACACAGGGAAAAAAGGAAAGGCGTCAGTTTGTCATCTTCGCTCGTTGATGTCGGGTGTTCTTTTTTTTTATTAATTATTCAATGGCTAGTTCAGTGGCCTAATCACCTAGCAAACAATGACCTCAACTAGAATAAGTACCTGATGAAAAGCTGAGAGTTATCGTTGTAATTAGCGTTATCAATCCCGATAATACTCGAGGGGATGACAACGAGGGGTTGGAGAGTCGTAGCTGTTCGAAAACCGGTGAGGGTTCAGCATTATTGCCATTTCCTCAATCTAAATAATCATCACCATTCATTTATGCCTCGTCTGAAAAAAAATTATTACGTGTGATCACATTTTATAGTCAAACCAATATCCAATTTTTCACAGCTGCAGGGCAGATCTAGTCCGGAGCTGATAAGATTTTTATTTACTCAAGTGAATTATATCTGCACTATCAACTCTACCCTCCAGACACATATCTTCACATCTAGAATTTTACTTATCGAAAAACTACACCAAGCTATTTTTTTTTTTTTTTTGGTCATTATCTCGTTCTGGTAGAGTAATCGAAATTATTATCTCTCAGTTCTATAGTCACGCACACATTAAGGCTCTCACAATATCATATGTGTACCATCAATTTACATTTATTCTCCATCCTGCAAATCATTGTTTTGCATTTCGTCATATTCGTTATTTGATGAAGAGAATTGTTTTATTTTCTGGTTAATGAGGATTAAATTGACTTTTGTAGCTGAGGATGAAAGGAAGATACAAAGCAATGATGGTTGAATTTCATGCGTTTTAAAATGAAGATAAGCGATGATAACTAGAGCTGGTGAGCTAGGCGTTCTTGGAAGTATTGCAGAACTGGGGAATATGGGACATCAGAGACTATCCGCGTTTGACGGTGAGATTATGATTATTCGAAAAATTTAAAGTCCGGGACTCAGTCGAAGAATGAGGGAACGTGATGAATCTTTTAATTACGTGCTGAAAACAATATACACAGCGATAAGTAATATCATGTTATCTCTCAGCTGCTTCAAACGCTTCGGTGAAGTCATAACTATACTGAAGCAATAAAGATTAGCAAATTCTTAAGAATATTGTTTTTGCGAACAGGAGGACGTGGGGATCGTAGATTTGTTCTCACACTGGCATGTGGTATGATATTTGGATTTTTATCAGCTTGTCTACTCATCACAGCCACGAGGGACTCCAATAAAATGCTGGGATGGCTGCCAGGAAATTCTGGGATTCATCGAGATCCTCATCACTATTCTGAGCTGGATTCAGAGGTGATCATTGCGCCGTATTAATATTCTTTCTCAATTAGAGGATAAAATGTTGAATGAATTTTTGGGTAAATGACAGCTGGGTCCAGATACTGAAATAAAATTCCACGGAGTGGAGGAGGATTTTCACAAGGGCGAGGACAAGGTCGCTCAGGAGATGTCGAAGAAGATTCGTGTCCTCTGCTGGGTGATGACAGGCCCCAAAAATCATCAGACTAAAGCTAGACATGTTAAAGCGACTTGGGGTAAACGCTGCAATGTTCTCCTGTTCATGAGCTCGGCAGAAGGTATTTTAGCAGCGTCAACGATAACTCAGCAGTTTTACTTTCACACGGCGATAATGATGAGTTTGGAAATTAAATTTTATTTTAGAGCCAAGTTTACCGACTGTTGTGCTGCCAGTGAAAGAAGGAAGGGATAATTTATGGGCCAAGACGAAAGAAGCGTTCAAATATGCATACGAAAACTACAAGGACAAAGTGGATTGGTTCATGAAAGCCGATGACGACACGTAAGAGTGATTTATTTATTTGAGGGGTATATCGATTGCCCCTAGGGAGTTCTAGATGTAATCGTTAAATCAATATCCCTGCAGATACGTAATCGTGGAAAATCTGCGGTACATGCTGTCATCCTACAGCCCATCATCGCCTCTGTACTTTGGCTGTCGTTTCAAGCCCTTCGTCAAACAGGGATACATGAGCGGTGGTGCTGGTTATGTACTTAGTAGAGAGGGTCTCCGTAAATTCGTGGATGAGGCACTGCCAGATTCGGCAAAGTGTCGCAATGACAATGGTGGTGCTGAGGACGTGGAGATGGGAAAATGCCTGGAGAAAGTGGGTGTCAAAGCGATGGACTCGCGCGATCCGTTTGGCAGGGGTAGATTTTTTCCCTTCGTGCCTGAGCATCATCTCATTCCAAATCACGTTGACAAGGACTTTTGGTACTGGAAGTACATTTATTACGAGACCAAAGATGGTCTCAATTGTTGCTCAGACAGTGCTGTATCATTCCACTATGTGTCACCCAATATGATGTATGTACTTGAGTATTTAATTTATCACTTGAGACCGTACGGTGTTACTCATAATATTGAGGAGCTGTCGCTGAGGCCATCAGTCACCACTGGGTACTAGTCCAAAGATTTGAAGAATTGTAGGAGTTTATATATTTTTGTTTTGTTTTTTTTTCTCTCTCTCTCTCTCTCTCTCTCTTTTTTAAATTATATGGCCATGTCAATTGTACCGTAAATTTGAATGCTAGTCATCTGACGCCAACGAAATGATGTGGGTAATTCTCAAATAAATGGTTAAACAATTATGCACTACCCATGCCAGATTGAATTGATTAATTGATTAATTGATCAAATGCATAAATCGGTGGAATGAGCACAAGAAAGTTTTTAAATATAAATTAAGAGATGATAAGAGAACGTAAAGTGGATGTTTTTTAATGCAGAATGAGGATAGTTATATATACACATAAAACTGTATTTCATAATGTTAATGGTAATATAATATAATAATCCCAATAATGTCGTTACTACCCAAGTAATAAATACTATAAATACAGAAGTGAGTCTGAGGATTCTGTGTGAGTAAATAAAACAAATGAATCTTCACAATTTTTCCATCGTTTCCTCTCCTTTTTTTTTTTTTTTTTCACCATCGGGGGGACAGGGTTTTTCTCACCTAAATCCTATGTACAATTTATTATTTGTACTATGCGACTGACGCAGTGGCCCCGCCTCAGACGCGCCCCATTATTTTAATTTCATTATTATTTTTCTCTTTAAAAAAAATGTCCATCTGTCGCCTTGATCGATTAAAAGGGACAATTCTATTTTACTCAATCATCAATTGAGTGATTTTCCAATAAAAAAAAATGAAAATTGTCCCTCGGAATAAACAAAATAATTTAGTTTCCCAATAGTCCCCATCATTGCCTAATTTACCTCTGATCGACAATTAAATTCAATGATAAATTACGTATTTCCATTTTAAACAAATATTTTACATTACAACTGTTATTTATAATAGAATGTCATCTATTCACCTCATCACTTGAATAAAACCATTATCTTTCTTTCATCTCTATCAAGAAAGAAATAGTAATGGTGAAAATTAATATACATTTATGACGCGAATGAAAAACTCTCAATGACACTAAAAAACATGATAACAGGTGGTCGATTGAGAGATTTTTTAAAATAATTGATCGAGTCACGTCGTCACCTGATTTTCCTTTTAATATCAATTCATTCACTTGGGGCTTGTACGAGGCAAACATAGGGGTGGCTGTTGCATGAATATCTGATCCAATAATTAACAAAAGAAAAAAATAATAGACGAGGGATTGCTGAATAATCGATCATTCATCTAACGTTTTAAGCCCCACACGTCCTCATTATTCTCGCTTGTCCATAATTCTTATGGTGCTTCAATTATTTCGTTCATTTATATTCATCTATATAAAATTAAAAAACAACGTAATATTCGTTATATTACTTTGTCGCTAGTAATAATTAAAAGCTTTGTACAAAAAGGTCAATTTACAATTAAAAAGACGTTTTTTTTTTCCCATTTTTTATCCTTTACTATTTTTACCTTTTGATATTACGCAACCATTATTATTATTTGCTTACTAGAGATTCTGATTATTTCTTTGTTCATTCATTAAATTCAACTATCTAAAAAATTTGAAGAGGCAATGGATTTACTGGAGAAAATTATTATGCCCTATTATGCTAGACATGGTATTCTTTAATCACTCATTAATTCACATAATTATTCATTCTCTCTTGAGCCAAATGAAGAGTCTAAAAATTGGACAATCGAGGGATAAATGAAGAAAAAAAAAACAAAAAAAAAATCATTTTATCGGATAATTAGCTGTCTATTAGCTGCCTCTCCACCGTTCACCCCTAATAATTAAATAAAAATCCCTACAATAATAAATTGTACATTGTACTCTCGATGAAACTGAGAGAGAGACAGTGGTCATGAGGGCGTATGAAAGTGACTCGTCTTATGCTCTCGTTTAAGCCCCACGTGTTACTAATATTAAACATAATAATAATAATTGCGTGAGAGAGATTGAGGGGTTGGTAATTATGCGCTAGTAATTTTGATGGTCTGGGTCAGACGAGGGCAGCTGACGCGTGGTATAGCTGCATCAGCGCTTGTACATGCACTGGTAAACAAGAGAGACGATCCTTAGTGTTTGAGTCAACAGCTAACCAGGACAGGGCATTATATCCCTCTAGAACGTATCTGAAATCATATCAACACATTATTACACCATATATTCCCCCACATCCCTAATAATAACAACCAATTACCCCAATAATTAAATCAATAATTAAATGAATTATCATCATCAATTACCTCAACACATCTGTTGTGTACTGGGAGTCCAAGGGATGTGCTGTTAACGCGCTCTGCTGTTGCAATAGGTCATCACTATTCTGTTGTATCGCTGGGCTGTGCAGGTGAAGGGCATTTTTCAAAAATGCAGGACACACACCCTCAAGGTGAGGACAGGCAGCCCAGAACCAGGGTGGCATGCGTCCAGTGGGAGCTGTTGATACAAGATAGCCCAGTGCCAGTGGTTGTTGTAGCAGTGTACCCACTTCCTCGGCTTGATCGGCAATGGCAGCCTGTTGTCATCATCATCATTATTAATATCCACATGATCAATGAAAATCGAATAAAATAAAAGGAAGAATAATGAAAAGGGCTAATTATTAAAGGAATAATTACCCTCGGTGTATTGCTACAGGGAAAGGGACTGCCAGGGCCATCGTGATTCCCCATCCCTGAGCCTCCACCGTCTCCACCCATGGGGGAGCCCTCGGGTCTGTGAGGACTGCCTCCAGGACTCTGGCCACCACCACCAGTTGCCTCTGGCCATACATTGAAAATATCATTGAAATCACCCATTCCCTCCATACCCTCGGGCATATCGTCATTGAGGGCTGAAAATAACTCGTCATCACCCAGCTCCGGGCCATTTATGTGCTGCTCCTGGAATGCCGTCTGGGAGGACTAGGGACGAGTGATAAAATGAGAAATTAATAAACCAATTTTATTTGCCATTTACACTCCCAATTGGTTTGAATATAAATTCTACTCACTGTAGTAGTCGCCGATGTTGGAAAGACAAGAATATGCGTGCAGGTGACATCCTGAGGTGTTGACAATTGACAGTTGACCGAGGGTTGACTGAACCTGTCATCGGGTGTGAATTGATCAGCCATAAGCCTGAGAGTGGAGTCTGGCTCGAGGGAAACGAGACAAGCACTGAGAACACAGGGTGCAACTGAGGGATAAATAAGACTGCACTGGCCACAAATCTCCTTCAAATGTTTCGAAGCCTTGAGCAACGATTTCCTCGAGAGTAACCAGCTCCAGCCCTTGAGCTCGCCATGTCCAATTCTCCCAACCCTTCCCACAACAAGCCTCCAAGGCTGTACACCCTGGGACATTACCCCAAGAATAAAATCCATGAGTTTTTGAAGTCCAATTCTCCTGGCAGATGCTCGCTTTCTCCTCTTTCTATTGGGAATATCGATATTGATTGCAGCAGTCTCAAATATCTCTCCCCGATCATCAGTGGCAACAGCCAACAGCCTCGACTGATCCTCGGACAGACAATAGCTCAGATAGAGAACTGAGCACTCTTCAGGCCCAGCAATACCAAAAGACTCTGGTGCTTCACTTTTGGGCCTGAGTGGTGCCAGTACATAAGCTGGTGCATAGAGACGATAGGGCGCCCTATTTCTCTCATCCTTGCTCTTGAGAAAGAGATCAGCAGCTGCTGCTGTGCCAAATCCAGTGAGACTCTTGACCGTTGAGTTGTGATTGAGAAGTCTTCTGCCTTGAAGAAATACATTAAGAGCAAGTGCCCTCATCTCATCCTGAATTTTTCTCCTCTCCCTGGCTCGCCCCAATTCCATGATACTCTCCAGGGATATCAATTGAACATTTATATTGGACCTAATGTTCTCTGGCATTGCACTGATCGCAGCTGAATATGCCCTCAATAGGGCAAGAACTGCTAGTCTTCTGCGATCAGGATTCTCAGGTCCACCCAGGGAGAATGGCTCGACGATGTAAACGACAACAGCTGGTGGCTCGATTTCATCCTCATCGGGTCCAATAGTCGTTGATGCTGTTGTATTGGCACCAGATCCCTGAGAATTGCTTCCATTATTACCTGGAGATGTTTGTGAGTTGGTTGGAGTGGTATTGCCGACTGAATTGTTAGGAGTGTTCGATGGTGTTTCACTTCTAGCAGTTTCATTATCCCCAGGCTCTTGTTTGACCACAGCACCATCAGGTGTAGCTGGCATGGATTCAGGAGGTGGTACTGACGGTGGTTGTGATTGATTCTGCTGTTTAGTTGGTGAATCAGCTGGATCGAGAAGACTTCGGTCCTGAATAACCTGAGTGAGATAAGGTCCAAGTCGATGGGAGCAAATTTGTGCGTAGAGCCTCAGCTGCTCGCCCAGCTGATTCTCCCCAAGTAGTTTAAACCACTCGTCAATTGGTTGTTTGGCAAATTTTTGACAGGAGTTCTTCCCCACCTTGATAATACCATCTCTAGAGGCTTTAGTGATGGCTGTGTGTTTGCCTAGCCTGCAGATCTCGTACGTCGTCGATAATTCCCTGAAGAAATATTTGACTTTAGTGATGACAGAGTCGTTGTCTGGAGTTAAAACAACATAGGCAACGTCTCTGGGGCCTGCATAGGGCTCGAGAAGAAGTTTCTCCCAGTAGTTTAATGCATAAGGTGAGAGTGATAGCCAGTCCCTGTCGTATCCAACAACGAGGGCTGGTATTGGCTGGGGTTCGCATCGATCGTCAGTACCCCTCCCAGCTAATCGATGAAACTGTCTCCAGGTTAATGGTCCAGCAACAGTGTACGGTGCCTCCCACATTCTCGTTGTGCATTTTTTCTGAACGGCTTCCTGGAGAAGTGGCTGGAGTGCCCTCATCATTCTGACAATATCCCCAGTGCACTGAGGACCCCTAGCCCTGATAAAGCCCCATCTGTGCACCCCACTAATTCTACCCCTCTCCATTTGTCCCCCATCCACGAGTTTTCCCTGTTCGAGGGCAGCCAGTGATACCTCGTTACCATCATTGTACTCTAGGGTATTTAAACTGGGCTGTGTTACACCGCTATTACGCGATCCAGCATATACCTTGGCAGCCCTGTAAAGACTGCTCACCGAGCTCTGAACGATGGCGCACTGCTCCCTAAGTAGCTCCAACACTCCAGAGGGAATAACATCGAGACCCTCGGTTTTTCCACCACCATTGACAGCCATCAGCGAGCCCTTTTTCTTTTCAGCCGGATCATCGGCTATTCCAGTTATCTCCATCTCGTCCTCGTAGAAGAGGCCAGCCTGGTGTGCAAGACGTCTATTGACAACAGCGCTGAAGCCACAGCTGCACCGTATCTGATCGTCCTCGTGGAATAATCCATTGCCAGTCCAGGAGCCAGCCAGATAAACCCCAGCATCAGCCCCCTTAATATTACCAACGACTTTTGGTCCAGCATTGCATACGCACAAGCTGCAGCTATCGAAATTGTGATCCCTGAAGATATTTAGGGCAGTGTCACCCAGAAGAATATTGACAATTAGGGAATTTGATTCTGGTGCCCGAGTTGGTCCTGGTGTATCGGCCTCCATGGAGTTGAGATTTTTATTGAGATAGGATGAGGTTGAGGTGGCGGGACTTGGTTGATCATAGGGTGGAGGTGGTGGTCTTCCTGGCCGATAGGGTGCAACTGCTGGTGCTGGAGATGGAGGACAGATTTGCTGGGGGGTTGGTACTTGTGGTTGAGGCTGGGATTGTGGGGTTTGCGAGCGGTTGGGGGCTTGAGATGTTCTCGTCGACTGATTTGTGGATTTATCCTGGCTGTTGGTGGTTTGATTGCACTGCCAGGATGGTCGATAGAAGCAGTGGGATGGCAGTGTCACGGGAGGTAGGGATTGACTCGGTAAATTGGTGAGTGGTGCGTACTTGGAGGAGCCAACGAGTTTGCATATGAGGGATGGCTTAAAGACGTACGACCAGTCGTCTATCGGCTCCTCGGGTGGTGATCCCATGTTAGGATAGATGTCGGGTACTTGACGGAGGGGACGGGAGAGGGACAGCTCCGTCTGGTCCATCGGTGCGTCACTCAATTGACAGGGTGATGCCACTGGATTGTGCTCCAGTGATGGTGGAGTTGGAAACATCTTGGAGAGCTCCTCAGGACGGAGAACACCCACACCTCGACTGTTGTGCTTTGTTGTGCCATCGAGACGTGTCTCCTCGTGAACTCCACCCGATTTATTGGATCCCGGTGGTGTTTGCACTTGAAGCTGATTGAGATTTGTCTCGTCGCTGGAGGTGTCAGGATCGGAATTATCGAATATCTGCTCGAGATCCTTGAAGGAGGCCTGCAGGCCCTCTGACGTGAAGAGTGAGCCCGGCTTAGGCTCGTCCCGTTGACGACGGAGTGCATCACTACTCCCATTTGCACCATTATCATCGCCAGAGGGATCAAAATCGTAGGGATCGTTCCTACCCGTGCATTCACCCTGAAAAAAATGAAAAATCATAGGGAATTTCAAGAAGAAATTCCACCCAACCAAAGAGAATAATAATATTAATGAAAATAAACGCACGGTATTCAGTCCAGGCTCCTGCTTGATTTCTAATTTAGGTGCCTGTTGATTAATTTGATTATTGACAGGTGGATAGAGACTACTGGATCGATGATTATTGGGCCCAGTAGATGGATTATATCCATCCTCCTTGAATCGTTTAACAGGATGATTGAGCCATGCCTCTTGGGTGGAGTAATCGTACAGCCACGATAATGGCTGCTCATCATCGAGAAGTGCCCCCTCGTATTCCCTGGACGCTAGTATTGGTCGTTTAAGCGTTGGTCCCGGCGCTGGGCTTGGCATTTGATTATTATTGCAGCATGCTGATGAAGTGGATTTTGGACCCTGGGATGGGGTCAACGGTGGGGCAGTATTTGAGTGACTTGGCGGTGGTTGTGGACTGAGTGTTGGCATTGTTGGATCGGCCGACGGTGGCACCGATGCCGGCTCTGAATGAGGCGTTGGAAGTGGCGATGGCGCTGGTGAGCTTGGCGAACCCACCGAAGGTACTGGGGGACAATCACCCCCTGTTGGTGGACCACGCGAGTACGAGGGAGGACCACCTGGTGGTGTACTTGGTGCATCCGTACTTCGATTAAGTGTCGACCTGAATAATCATTATTAATCGTTTATCGGGGTTTTTTTTTTTTTTTTTTTATTCCTTTGGGGATGATCCCAATGGGGAGTCGATTAAACCCAATCCAGATGAGCTTTTAGGATGAATAAAGCGATGATGAGACTGTTAAATAATAGGAATAATCCTCGATAATCCCATAACAAGCAAAGCTGCCACACAAAGACTATCACCTTAAACTGAGGATAATTACTGTTGAGCATGCAACTAATAGCCTAGTGCTTAAAATTAATGAAAAATAAATATTAAATCGTGATAAAGCGACTGCTTTCACCTTAAGCGAATGAGATTAGAGGCATATTTAAAATATAAATGGAATGATTAAGAATCTTTAGTTCGATGAGTGACAAATGATCGTTTACTCTTGATATTTGAACAAATTGTTTTTGTTTTTTTTTTTTTTAATCGTCGGGGGCAGATACCCACCTGGGGGCATTTGCAGGGACAGAGGGGCAAGAAGCATCCCACTGGGTGGTAGGGCGTCGATGAAACGGCACGACCCTCCTTCCACCTTTATCAACTCTTTCCCTCTGAACCTGAGTGGAGGCGATGCCCTTCCAACCCCCGGGGGTCGTGCACCTGCAATCGCGTATTTTTCTCTTTAATTTTCAATTGTTCCCTTTTATCAACTCAAACTTATCTATCCCTCTTTCTCTCGTTATCATTTAATCTCTTTTTCTCTTCGTCTCACGTTCATTTATTTAATAACAGTCATTTTAATTTCCAAAGTGTACACTTTCCTCTTGTGGAGAGAAAATTCTTACATGCAACACACTGCGCACAGCCACTGAAAAACTACCTTTACGTATTCTCTCTTTTTTTTTGTATCGATAACTCGCTGATTTACTCCCAATTCTGCAAATCTACTTCCTAACATGCACGAACAACTTCCTGAGGACTTGACATTGTTATCTTCCTTTCACAGCGATAACAAAGTCGATTGATCTCGTTCAGAATACGTAATTCACATAACTTCATGAAAATTTGTATCTAGAAATTATTCAGAGATATTCAAGGACAAGTGCTATTCATAAATATCCCGAATAAACAACAGCCTAAATAAAGACAAATCAGATTGAATCGTGCATGCCTCGTACTAAAACCTAGGGACATCCACAATAAACTTAAATTCAGGAATAAAAATTAACGATTTAAATAAATAAATAATTAATTAGCACTGGTGTACTCACTTGGTGCAGGTGCAGGAAGACTTTTGAGTTGCATCGACGAATGTCCAGGTACCGAGCTCCGGGGAAGATGAATCATTGCTCTTGGAAGAAAATGGTGAGCCAAGTGTGCACTCGGCCCAGACGCGTTCAGGCAATTCAGTGGAAGCCTTAGAGTCACGTTGAATTGAATTTGGATGCTCGTAAGTTGCTGTTGCTGGACTGTATGGTGGTGATAGCGGTAGTTCCGTTGGTAAATCATCCATATCAGTAACGAGAACATAACACGATGGATAACGCATCCTAACACCACCGACGAGTACTTCAACGAGTGGAGGAAGACCAGACTCAACGTTATTGCCATTCATTGGGTAAAAGTTCTTCCATTCCTCGAGTAGTTGAGTGTCAACTCGTCCCACTTGACCGGTCAGGGTGCCAGCGAGGCCGTGAGGTGCTAGGATCACTACAATCAATTCCAAAAAAATTCCGAAACAAATTCCAACAAATTCAAATAAATTCAAGATAATTTAAAATAATTCTTTAAAGATCCATAACAATTAATCGAAATCAACAGGTTAGTTCGTGAGAGATAACGAATAATACTTGAAACATCAGATTCTCACCCTTGACACCATTCTGCGACGTCTGAGTTCGCTGCAAACATGTTCGTGTAAGATGTCTAACGGCTGGATGCTGTCTAACATCAACACTAGCACATACTGTACTCTCACCATGCACGAAGAATGCAAACGAGAACGACAGGTGGCTGCTGTAAATACACCAAGAGAAATATCGTTATCATCAATTCTCCACCACCATTATAATATTATAATATTATAAAATTATAAAATAATAAAATATAAGAGATAAGAAGTCAAATAAAGGGATAAATCATTTGATCTTTACCTGTTGCAGCGGTGTTTCTCGAAGCCGTCGTACGGCTGGACAAACCATTTGCCGAGGCGTACAAAGTCACGGGATAGAAGACATCGCTCTATTAAATTATGCAGTGCTTTGAACAGAAGGGAACGACACTCGTACGACAGACCACTCTCCCAAGATCCTTGTTCACTCTCTGAAAGCATTAATAAACATTCAATGAGTGACATCAGACTGGTAAATTAATTTTTCCCGGTTAGGATTCGGTGGGGATGAGATGAATAGACATCTCCAGGCATTTTTCCACACTCTCAAAACGTCCTGGGGATGGTGTCCCAATTTTGGGAGGGATAATTTTTTAATCACAATTTCAATTCCAATCCCCAATTATTTTATGAAAAATTATGGCAATTTAGATATTTGGACTTTTTTTTAAATAGGGAAAAAAATTTTAAATTATGAGCTTTGAGGACTGAGGTGGGAGGTGAGGGGTTGGATGAAGGGTTCAAAAATTCCCTCAGGATGTTTTCAAGGGGCACCTTACGGTGAGTTCCTTTGCCACGAAATTTCAACTTCTACCCATGAGTATTGGGGGCGATGGGGGCGATGGGGACGATGGGCTTATGAAAACCAGCCATCGAACAGGAGCCACTGGCCGGCTACAGCGACACGTGTTCTGTCCGATCGATAAGCCGACCAAGTGGGGGCTAAAAGTGCATCGTCGCGTACCATCGACATCCGTATTCACCTCTCTCTCCAGCAATTGTGCCCCTCTTCCTTCGCCCCCATTGGAGAGGGGTCCACCACCCGAGACTTGCACCAAACCCCCATCACCCCTTCAAAAATGGGGGCGCGACGCTTCGATCGAGGAACATCGGTTGTAGGAACGCAAGCGCAAATGGACGGATTCATCAAAAAAAAAAAAAAAAAAAAAAAAAAAAAAATGTTATCAATTAAAAAAAAATCACTGAGGACAACAATTAAACCATCGTAGAAAATCAGGTGGCACGTGATCGACTGTCACCAAGACATTTAGAAAGCCCAGGAATAGCTGGTGATGGGGTAATTCAAGTGGAACAATTGTTGAAGAAATAAAAAAAAAATATACGACTTGGGGAAAATGGAATGAAATAAAATGCAATAATTGCCCAACGAGTGGATTCCTGGGGAGAGATGCAGATTGATTGTCATTTCGTGGGACTGACGTGTCTGGATGGTACCTCTGCCTCGGAATACTTGTCAGGCAAATTCCGATGACTCCTGGTCAGTCGAACTCAAAAAAAAAAATCTATGAGGAAAAGTGTAGTAATGACGTAACGGTGTACTCCGCGTACTTAATTCCGGAATAGTGGATTTACTGTGAGGTAGAGGCCAAAAAGAGCGAGAAAGACAAATGGATTATATACACGTATACATGGACAGGCAGTTCAGCGACCTCAACTGGTACAACGCGCGCTCAGCACACGACTCCTTCTCCGACAGAGTCGTGTGCCTGATTCCACCTCCACGAGTTACTTTCGTTTCTTCAGTTTTTCACCAAGCCAATGCCACCAATTTCCCCCTCCCTCAACGAGTAATGTGTGGCCTCCAAGAGGAGAATTTCACTTGGAATCATTTTTTATTTGCCGTCACGATCACCGAAACCAGGAGAATGCACTTGATTCGTGGTGGAATTCACTCTGGGACGGGAGAACCTGTTTTTTTTTCCCCTCCCCAAGGCCAAAGGACAAAAAGTCGATTAAACACATAATAAATATGATTCTGTTTACCACAGGCGATGAGCTCCTGCGACACGATACCAGACAAATCGGGTTCCTCGCCGTACCAGAATATCCAGAGTTCCTTGGCAGCGGTCAGTGACAGGGGTGGTGGTGCTGGTGACGGGGCAATACCAATATCGAATATACCACCGCCTCCAGATGTCGAGGGTGGTGTTGCAGCAACTCGTCGCCATACGCAGAGTATATCACCAGCTAGACACCTGGAGAAACTCGATAGAACTGGATCCTCAAGGGGGGTACCCCCAAAGCCACCTGTCATCTCCCCCCACACGAGCTTTCGCCATTTTATCCCACAGAGGTCGGTCTGAAATAATTAAGAGGCAAATAATGTAACATCAATTGGTGATTAGTACTTGGAAATTTGTGGATCTGGTGAAATGTGGAAAATTGTTGGGGCAAGGAATGGGGCATTCTGAAAGACGACGATGGCACCTGTTACACGCGCAGTCGCCTCCTTCCACCGTAACCACCCACCCAACCATCAGGGGGTTGGAGGCAATCTCGCAACTCTACATCACCCTCTCGTTTTAATTCCCCCGACTTCAAACCCACCATGTCAAACCTATTGTTGTTTCGTTCTCTCTATTTTACCACCGTCACACGATGTCGTCATACGAGTAACTTGCATTTTCAAGGGATTTGCGCACGCTCATACCAAAAATATCGTTATAAACTTTGCATGCACGTCATGGACTCCTAGAGAGGTGAGAAAATTCGTCACGCGAGTGGATTCAACGAGTGGGTTACTCGGTTAATTATACAATCAGATGACATTTGTTAATTGACATTTGTTGAATTATCATCAGCGATTACAGATGGAGAGGTGAATATCTCTGAATCCCGGAGAGATAGAACTATTGTCAATAGAACTTTTTTTGGCGATCTCAATCTCCACCTCAAAAGAGGTTTTTTAGAAAAAAAAATCGCTATGTCCTTCAGATTCAGGGATATTCCACTTGCTGATCCGACATCTTCAAGTCAGGTTGACCAATTTCCTTGATAATGTCTGTCTGGGGTGCAGGTGATTGGAGAATCAGAGGTGCCTGGTGTTGTTGTTTCTCATGTTTTTTTCATTCTAAATTCTGTGTAAAAATAGATTATCGGAAATGGACATCCCTCGAATGATCATGTCTCTATAAAATAGATGAAAAAAAAATATTATCACCTGGCAAATCTCCATGGGATAAGGACATCGGCACGCGTATGGCAATGGTAACAAGAGGTTGGGTAAAACCGAAGGCGTACACCGTACAGTTAGGTACTGTCAAGCCTCCCAACGTCTGATCAATACCAGCGAGGGGGAAAACTACGTGCAAGGCCGTCCGCGTGGCTCCACACCTCTCTCTCTCTCTCTCTGACTCTCTATTTTTATTTATTTTTCCCCTTAATTTTTCCCCTCCTACACCCCTCCCCCCCTGGCATTTGATTTACGCGGGAACTCCAGGATAAATCAATTAACGATAAAATTTCACGAGCATCTGAATGAATAACACACGAGTTAATGATGATTTTCCGTAATGACGGGGGACCGGTTAACGCAACTGATTAACTCTTGTAATCGTGAATGGCACGAGTGGATATTTATTTATGAATGACAGTCGGACAAGGTGTGAAATGATTGAGTCAATGACCGGTTGTAAAACTCCATAACGACGAAGATATGCGTAATAAACCGAGCGGACTCCAGGGTGCACACGTCGTTAACTCTCGAAGGTGTCCTGGCCCTTTTTAAATGCTGTGGAAATGTTATTGCTCTCGATGTAACTGATTCACGTAGAATATTCTCGTGGAAAAACTCCTTTCTACATTTAGAGCAAAAAAAAAAACATTTTTTGTCTTTCTCTCTCTCTCTCGTTGTCTCGTCTTACCGGGGCTTTCACCGAGGCTACTCCCTCCTCGCCAAGGCTCTAGGTCTCTGCTCTATTTTCCTCGGGCATTCACTCCACAAAAAAACAAAAATCCTAGGAAACAAAAGATTTTATCAGCGACTCGCGATAGAGCGACGTGAAAATTCGAGAATTCGAGGAATTTGATATTGAATTGCTGATATCTCGGGAGTGAGTGATGCGATTTCGGTGGTTAAGGTCTCATTTTGAAGCCTGAAAAAATGTCCTTGAACTGGTGATAAATGGTGAAATTTTACTGGAACGCTGTGGAGTTGTTGCGAGTGTACGAGTTGAATCGCTGGAATTCCCCTCGAAAATTGGGGGAAAAGTGGGAAAAATTTGGAAAATTGATTATTGAAATATTTTAATTGAATTCACTGGTACACATTTGGCTCGAGAGATTTCGCCAGTTTCACCGTGGGAGATCAGTGGGCATAGTCGTAGAGGTGCAACATCGTCGTAAAGCCTAGTCCCGCTACACACACATTAAAACGATGAGTTTATACCAGAGAGAAACAGAAAGAGACAAGGCTCTTCGGGGCCCCTCTCGCCTCTCCTACCCCCGGGGAATGGAGATCCCAAAGAGGGGAATGTTGTCGCATACGCGGCGCCAGTTTCCGATTGTTTCGTCCCGATAAACTGTCGGAAAAAAAGAAAAAAACAAAGAAATGAATATATAAAAATCCCACCGGCCTCTTCCGACACTCGAAAAAAAAAAATCACCAAAACCCCAAAACTCCCGGAGGATGTTCCACCGATTTTTTCCACCCAGTACCGCATCTCGAAGTTGCTTGACACAGTTTTCCATTGCGATCACAGGGCGAAAGGAATGTTACGAGGCGAGCGTAACCCACACAACCGATTGCATTGAGGAAAAAAAAAAAGAACTCCACTCGAGAATACAGGGGATCCCGATAATTCACCGATTTGTTGGAGCCCCTGGTACACCAGGTGCCCCCCCCCGAAACCGCGATTCAGCCTGCAACACGTAAAAGCCACCGTTGACAGGCCGAACTGATGACCTCAACTCCTGGAATTAAATAAAATAAGTCTCAAGTCACGACTCGTGATAAACAATATGTGGAAATCCCCTCAATTCCACGGGGATAATCGAAGAGAAAAAAATAACAGGGAGAATAAAAAAAAAAAATAGCTGGTGGAAGTGCAAAAAGGCGACTGCCGGGACAGCAGTGCCCCCCCAGGCACTGATGGCACTCGTCTAGATGATGATCCCCTTGTACCCCCAGAATTGTTTCGACTCTGTGAAGAAGACAAACAGAGTCCTGTTAATTTATCAATCTCACCAGTGCGAAGAAATTCGTGTGGCAGTCCTCCAAGCTGGCGCCGTTAGTCTGATGCGACGGGTGCGTCATGGCTTCTCCATCGTACCAGAACGATGTTAATTTATCTCACCAACAACAGGATCTCAATCACCCCTCAAATAACCCTTCAATAACAATCACCACTTATCACCACAAACAATAGCAACCCAACGATGGGAAATAGTCACGATTATTTCTTCACCGTTGAAACTTCACATTATTCCCCCCACGTATTTATCACATCATCACCGAGACATATCCACGGATAATCACTAAAATCCAGTGATTCTGAGATGACGTACATAAACAATGTGACTGCACCAGGTAGACGATCACCTACGGTTGATTATTAACTTATTATTTTGGGTATTTTAATTTGTTAACAATTGGAGTAACATTTAGGAGGATTTTCACCTTTCAATGGCGACTGTAAAATGGCGGACGCTGGGAACACAACAAGCCTCAACGTCGAAGGCACCCCTCTTGCGCCCCCTCTAAGTCAGATTAATGTGTGTTGTCCATGTGTGTACACACAGACGTGACGTCCTGTCGATGTGTACTTGTGACGGGGGGGGAGGTGAAAAATGGGGGTGGCGGGAGGGGAATGAGGGTGATGAGGGGAATAAGGGGAATGGGGGGGTGACTCGGGGGGTTCACTCCAGTGGCGACAATTGCGGTGCACAATTCAACTTGTAAACCCACTCCACAAAGTTCTCAATATTTCGTATGATTTCCTCGTAAAGATGGCTGCGCTCATTGGACACGCCACCAGGGCATGTAATTCTCGATTATCACAACTTCTTCGTGTTGTCACAGTGAGTTGATAGCCTGGGATTGTATGGAAGACCTGGAGCACCAGGTGGAATGTCGGTTAGGGGGCGGTTGAAGTTTACTTCTCGGTGGATTTACTGTGGGTAAATTGGAGCCACTTAATTTTACCGTTTGTTTGTTCAAGGTGAGAGTCGATGGTGTCCGGCACAAAAGGGGTGAACCACCGTTGCCACCGAGGAGCACCATCAAATGGAAGCTCCAGTGGGACGAGACGTCACTGGGTTCACGCGGGTGAGGTTCCTGGCCGCTCTTTTTTTTCCTCTCTCTCTCTCTCTCTCTCTCTCTCGGGGTTTTTACACACCACCGGGTATCAGACCCTTATTTCCGCGCTCGGACACCCTCCGGCTGCTTGGCCACTAACGCCATTTTGAATCCCCCACCAGGAGGGCATTTTACCAGTAAACATGCTATGCAAGGGCTTTGACAGATCAGGGACGTCTGCATTACAGTATTCACTTTTTAAACACTAGTCGTTTTTTTCGTTTTTCCATTTTTCAAGATCATTCACTGCTTTATTTTTTCATCCGATTCAGTCATTTCATCTGGAAATTCGCCCGTGTCAATTCAAATAAATCACAATTATTGTTTTTTTTCTTTTTTTATTTTCAGTCGTTTGTCATTTAAGATTTATCGTCTTCTCAATTATATTATTTATTCCATCACTTGTTTTGTTTACATTATCGTGATAAGTTGTCACGTTACTGATAACAAACCCTGAAACAGAATGGTTGTACGAGGGCAGCACCGCGTGGTCATGACATCGATCCTTTAAATATCCTCACCCCCATCCCCTCCCAAAAGATCTTTTTTTCCCTCTGCAATACAAATGGGAAAACTTTCCCGCGTGCTGCATATAGAAGGATAGATTATCCTTTCGGAATATAAAAACGTCAGAGGAATATTGATTCGGGTGCAGATACCTGGGGGAACATTCCAGGGATCGAGGATTGTCATGATTTAAAAATTATTTTTTTTCAATGATTGATTCCTGAAGATTCCTGAGACCACTGAAGCCTTACGAACCGCCTGCGGATGCCTCTCAACGTCTGGACATGGTCTGCCGGGGCCAGGGACTCTCCCCTGCGGACTCCACTAGGATCGACAATCTCCTGAAGAGATTTGATTTTTTCGTGGCGTGCGAGAAGGAATTCAATTATGGAATTCCAAGTTCTCGGCTCTACACCATGGAAACAATAGGTAGAAATAATTTATGAAATGATGAAATTATTATTTCAAATTTATTCCCCGCATTCCCCAGGTGATGTGAGGCAGTTCTACAAAACCCCCATTGTCGCAGCTCTTCCTTTCGACTTAGTCAGGAAAACAGAATTACCAAAGAATCTTCACATTCAGTACGAGTACCACAGATTTCACCCAGCGACAGACACAAAATTCAATGGTAAAACAGCTTTCCCATACAGTTCCACAATCGTCACAGGATTGAAGTACAAGAAGAAATATAAGGGCCACAAGCAGAAGAACCCCTTCGAGGACACCTACGAATAGGCCGCATTATAAAATTGTTCCCTCAATAAAATAAATTATTGAATTTGAATTATTGCAGTGGTGTTGCATTAATTACTGAATTAATAGCAATGGTAAAATTATCTTCGTGAAGATGTTTTTCCAAAATGTGCGACTACCAACAGATATTTCGTGATACGAGTTACGGATACGACTGATCGACCCATCGGGCCGTAGCAACCCTCCCCCCCCCCCCCCCCCCCCCCAACCTGTCTCAAAATCCTATCAAGTCACTAACGAACACACAAAGTTTACAGCGCGTTACAACACCGTGGTGTAGTCGACGTTTACGTGTTGCAATGCTGAGAATTTCAACGTGTTCGGTGATACCGAGTGCCAGTGCTGTTGGAGTTGTGATGCGAGAATGCCCGGGATATCCAGCAGCACTGGGCTCATCGCTGCTCGTGTCCAACCCATTTACAAGCCCAAGCCCAAGGTAATCTGTCTATTCCCTCACAAATAAATGAATACCCTTCTCAAAAAATTTATTAAATTTAATATAAATTTAATTATTCGATAGAATCATTTTTTTAAAATCATTCCTTAAAATATTTAGGTGAATATATAATTGAACAATCGATAAATATTATATATTTCTATATATTTCTATATATTTTATAAAAATATTTAAGAAATGGAAAATAATGAGAAATATAATATATTTAAATGACTTTGCCTCAGAAAATTGAATTATCCGGAACATCCAAACCAGCTCCCTTCACCCTCCGCCCATTCGCGGGTCTCTTCAACCCCTTCCCCTACGGCTGTTCAGTGCTGTGTAATCATCCAGCGGATTGCGAGGCGAAGGAATTCGTCAAGCGAGCCAAGGAGTCATGGGTAAGTTCTGGCCCCTGGAGAAACTTTAATCCTTTAGATAAAAAAATTCTAGGCAACCGAGGGGAAGACCCTGCTACTGCCGACAGAAATGGAATTGATTCGTGCGACACTCCTCGCTGGAGGAGTCCTGGATTGCTCAGTGCCACAGGAAGCCCACAGCCAGGACACAGCAGCAACGACAACCGTCCCCGAGGAATTATTCCGAAAATACACGGAGACAGATTCTCGTCCACTGACTCCAACCCCTACACTGGCAAGTGGTCCCTTGACGGCTCACAGGAATCCCCCAGAGGATGGTCCAGCCCCCTGCAATCCCCGTGAGCGCACCACTCTGATCCTGGACCTGAGAACAGCCTCGCAGGAGCAAGAGGCCGAGACCCTGAGCTGGCATGCACTGACTTTGGAGCCACCACCGAGTCCCAGAAGACCTAGTGATATTTCCAGACCACTTCTCCATCAGCAGAGCCACCAGGCACGTTCAGCAGCTCCACCTCCTCCCTCTCCAGTGCAACCAGGGGCATTTTCTGATGGAGGATCCTCCAGGAATGAGGACCAGGAGGTGGATACAGACACGGAGGCTGGCTCGCCGATGAAGAGGAGGGGGAAAAAATTGAAGAAGAGGAAGTGCCGCAGAGGCTCGGCCTATGGCCAGCAGAACGAGGTGAGGGGACCTCTGGAGCCCCTGGAGACACAGGTCTCGCAGGTGGATGACGGCTCCAGGAGGAATTCTGGGCAGCAACAGGTGACATCAGAGGTGGACATCAAACCTGAGAGAGCAGTGACACCAGTGCAAGACCATCATCCCCACAGTTTTCTTACACCTGACATAATCAGGCATCTGGGGAGAGAGCTCGATCGAGAGACTGTTGAGGAGGAGTTCAATTTGAGGAGGAAAATCGCCCTGGAGGAGGCCCTCAGGGTCAAGGAGGAGACTCAGCCCAATGTCAAGAGCTCCAGGATTCCTGTAACAGCTCCAGTCTGTCAGAATGCACCCAGAGTATTCTCCAGGCAGTCAGCAAGGTTCGAACTTCTTGACTCTGGGAGTCTGGTCGCCATGAAACCACTGGACTACCTCGGAAAATTCGTTTTTCTCACACCGGGGAGAAAATTAATATTCGGCAGGACCTTCAATAAATTTTACGAGGACACCATGGATGGACTCAGGTATATCCAACCGAATGAGCTGATGGAGGCCCTCCAGGAGGTCATGGGAAGACCCTTCACCGAGGAGCAGATGCTGAAATTTGGGGAAATCATGGGGGAAATCAAGGAGCCACTGAATTTTAGAACCTGGTGTGGGGTATGTGCTATCTGCGAGAGACTCCTGTCGCCTCTGCCACCCCGGGATGTCGATCCACCTGCCTGGATCGAAAGAGCTGACTTCGAGGCCCTGGAGAGGCGTCTCAAGTGTGTCCAGGCTGATCCCATGCTCGTTAAACTTCTCAGGGACATCAGGGACCAATGAATCAAGTAGTTGACGCGCTTTTCAGTCCGACAATTATTGTATTTAATTCGTTTTTTCTTCAATGTCGATCAATACAATATAGAAAAATATTCAAGTCTTTGGATTTGTTAACTTAGCTTCAATTGACACTGTGCTCTGTAATTACGAGAAGAGGGGAAAAATTCAATTTGATTCTCGAGAGATTCAATTATTTTGTCACTTGATCACAGAATTTTTTGTACTTTCCAAATAAATTTCATTTTCTTTTTTCAGTATAACGCATGAGGAATCAATCAGCGTCTATGAAAAACGCTTTCACTTACGACCAAGTAACACCAGAAAACACCATCAAGCGTATCGTTTTCCACAGATATAATAAAAAGCACTAAAAATAATTTAAAACTAGATAAAATAATAGTTGAAAAAAAAAAAAAAACAGGTGAAAAACTCTATAATCCGTACATTAATACAATTAATTGAACATTATCAACACCTTTGGCATCATATCGTCAATCATTTGAAAAATGCAGATTGATCATGGTGACACACTTAACAATGACAATGGCACTTTTTTTTTTCACTTTTTCACGTACACACAAGTTATACTCATGTACACGATATTTCAAAAATAAATTCATAATTAGAGGGGACGAAATTGGCATAATTAGTAATGAGAGTACCCCCTAGGTTGAAAAAAAAAACATCTATCATGTGCCAATCTCACGATTCCCCTTTTAAAAAATTAAAACAATCCATAATAATTAACACTTATTCTTATCTGGACTTGAAACAAATGAAAATATTTAAGGCACGACTTTTTTGAGCTTGGGCATTTTTTTGGGACAACTGACAACGTGTCTGGTCCAGTGTCTGATCTGGCAAGTTTCGTCGCAGTAAAAAGCAACTTCACACCCAAGACACTTGAAGAGAGGTCCTGGTAAGGCACAATTTGAGCACTCAAGAGTCCTGGCTGTATTAGGGGAGTAATTAACTTTTCCCAGATGAGGTGTTTCGCAGTTTCTCGTATCTTCGTTGTCCTTGGATCTCACCCTGGGCATGGAAAAATTCTGAAGTGCAGCTGGTGAGAGAGCAGCGAGGAGAGAGCAGGGATCAGATGTCCAATTGGTATTGATGGGATAATTTCTCATGCCAAGAGCTGTAGGTGGAATTATCGGTCCTCTCCAGGACTGCCTGTAGTTGAGCTGATCTCTGGGGGCGTCTGGGATGGCGACCCTAGGATTTGGTTCGTTGTAGGTCTTGGTGTATTGATCTCTGGGGAGTTGTGGCTGTGACTGGACTCTCTGGTTGGGATAACTCGTTGTCTGGGGTATCGAAGATGGATAATCAGTTCGTTTGGTCAGGGATGTTGGGTCGTAGCTACTGCTGGGAACTGTATTCCTCGAGAGTTCACCCATTGGCTGGCCTCTTTTTGCCTCCTGGGGTGGTCCTGATGCCTGAGGTTGTCTAGGTAGTGGGTAGGAGGGAGGTGGACCTCGCTGGGGTATAGACCCTGGTGGCATGTTATACTGCATTCCACCACCTGAAAATCGAGGCTGGTAACCCTGAGGAAGACCTCGAGGACGTAAAAATGGATATTGCAGAAGGGCTCCATTCCACAAGGAGGCTGCCAGCGAGGGGTGATTGTAGCCATATGGAATGCCATAAGGATCAACCTGAAGAACATAAACGACAATCGAACACAAATATATCGAGATACAAAACAAAAAACACATAAGTAAGAACAAATAAGTAGGGATGACTTACTGGATAATTCCTGGGATAATATCTGCCCAGGGGCATCGTCGGTGGGCAGTAGTCAGACGTCATCTGCTGGTTCTGCATGGCGATCTGAACATTGTTCATCGCTAGGGCCCCATTGACGTACTCCTGGGGAGGTTGAGCCCTCTGCTCCTGATTCTCCCATCTCTCGTGCCTCCACTGTCTCCCATTCTCCCTTCCACTCGTACCAATATCAATCCCAGAATTTTTTCCACTCACCTGATTGTACATTTGGATATTGGACTGATACGCAGGTGTTCTGCTCTCGATGACGATTTCACTGGATTTTTTTGCACTTTTTGCAGTCTCGTTGGGGATTTTAGATGACATCTTAGCGAGCCAATTGCCCAGGGTAGGAAAATGATCAGCGATCATTAAATCTTTGGGATTATTCATGTTTAGGCAATCCACCAGGGAGTTGGGATGCTTGGGGGCCTCAGCTGATGAGGAGATTATGGGCGCAGGTGTCTGGATCCTCAAAGAATTCATCTGGGATGGTTCAACGGTCCGGGACCTCTCCAGGATCCTGGAGTCACCAACAGAGACATCTATTGTGTCAGACCTATTCTCGAACTCCTGGAGAACACTCGTTGTGTCGATGACCATTTCTCCAGGACTAGGTGTCTTTCTCAGATCGATCTTGATGACTTCTTCCACATCTGAACCCTCAATCAATGATTTAATTCTTATGGCCTTGACCTGCTCCCTCAGCTTCACTGCATTTATCTCAGATTTCGGGTGCTCGTCTATCTCCAGCTGAAGAATCTGCGATTTATTATCTAATTCAATTTCCTCCTGGCCCGAGTCACTCGTAGTCGTGATAACTGACGACGCCACAACGGAATTTTCGTGCTTCCCCTTCTTGGAGATTTTGAGAAGTCCCCGGAGCCCCTCAAACTCCTGCCAAGTATCCTCAGTGTCTTCTCCATGGACTTGCGTCGCCTTCGGTAGGACTGGTGGGCTGTCCCTCACCTGATGAACATCCACAGAGTTCCCGTAGTCCGGTGGTACCTTCGGGGAGAGTTTTGGTGGCTCTGGTGACGACGTCGAGCCCTGGAGTACACTTGGAATCGTAGATGTCACTATAGGCCCCGATGACATGTCCTCCAGGCAATCGGCGTCAGCTCTCGCAGCAGCTTCAGGCAATTTCTTCAACAGTGTCGTCAGTTTCTTGATCTGCTCCTCGACTGGTGCCTCCTGGAGGCAATTATCAGGGGAAGTCATGGCTGTTCTCAGCATCTCTCTCCCCAGCTCCATCGTCTTCTTCTTCAAATCTCTCAGCTTCAGTTTCAATTGACTCTGACGACACCTGGTGTCCTCTCCCTTGTCCTCTGACGATCCATCCCGGATTTTAACAGTGCTGGAGTCTATGCACTCGTCATAGGGTGGAGTCGTCCCAGTGACAATTCTGTAATTCGTATCCTTGACGGCTTGGGGCTCCGGTGGTTTCGGCTCGTAGAACCTAAACCCCGAGATCACCTGAGACTCATCCGACTTCTTCAGATTGCCCCAGGTCGGGGCACAGCTGGTGACGTCCTCCTGGAGGCTCTGAATTTTCTTCAGCCTCAATGGTGGAACAATCTTCGAAGGAGTGACCGTGTTTATCTCAATCTTCTCCTCGACCTTCTCCTCGTCCTTTTTCAGCTTTCGCTTTCTCCTCTTCTTCGTCCCGTCTCCATCTAGATTCCTTGGAGAATCCCCAGGAGCCGATGATGGCGAGTCCTTAGAGGAGTCAGAACGATCAGGACTCTGGGATATATCGATCAGACTGCAATTGGACGTGGTGACGTTGTCCTCGGACTCGGGTGCCTTCCTCTTGACCCCCCGGTTTGAGGATCCGTGGAGGGTTGAGAGGTTGACGATGTTGATGTAGGGCTGTCGAATATCACTATGCCAGGATGGTACTTCTATCCTTATGAGACCCACTGTTGGATCCTGACGACTTCGATCAGAGGATGTTGTCACTGACTGATTGGATTGCGAGGCTTCCAGCCCAGGATCCGATTGTGTTTGGAGGCTCCTCCGGGGGAGGACACTCCTGCAGGGTATGTGGGGTGCGGGACGAACGGGCAGTGATCGATTCGGCTGATTTGGAATTGAACAACTTGACCGGTCTCGAAGGGCAGTTGCCAGACCACTGGAGTTCGGTTGACTACTGGAGTCTATCATCGTTAACTGCTGGCTCTGATCATTCCCCAAACGAGATTCTGTAATTAACCATGAACTCATTCCACCAATTTAACAACAATCTAATTAAATCTAATAAATTGAGCAGATGAAAGTCGCGTGAGGTACATGTAATAATTATTTTATTAAAAACCGATTGCCAATGAAACTATCGATTTTCGGAGGAAATACCACGAGAGATTTTATATGGTAAATTGAATGAGCTACAAAAAAGTCCCCCATCACCTCCACCTGAGGCGTTGAGGTATCGAGATAATGAATGATTTATCAAAATATTAAATTCAACAGTTGAATGCTCGTTGAGGTAGAAGTTGAAGGAAAAGGAGAGAGATTGATGCAGGTCGTCCCCACAATGTGAAAAATAATCGGTATGTGGCCGTTAATGAATGCAGGGGTCTGTACACCCCCGTTCATGACATAGAAATCGATATGTATAGCCATCGAGCGTTATGAAATAGAGAAAAAAAAAAAAAAAGATTGGGTCTATAGACGAGAGGAGAAATAACCTTGGGTAATTTAGTCTTATTTCTTTTGTCAGGAGGTGGAGAAAAATGATGAAATATCATGTCCAGGGTGAAAGGACAGTGGATAGGATATCCCCGGGGAAACCACTCCATTATTCACGCAATAAAAGTCTCTCGCAGGTTTTCACCAACATGTGGCTGCTGTATGCGGTATTCCCACCTTTTTCCATACAATTGTATTACGAGAGGTTTGACTATATCTAGAACCACCGAATCGCGTGAATAAGTCACGAGCCACCCAACGTCGTTATATCCCACCCCGGCTATCATCCTCTATCTCTATTACTCCTCTTTTCACCCTCTAACGAAAAAATACAACGCGTTTATGGTTTTTCCCATCGATCCGCTTTATTTTTTCATCGGAAAAACAGTATTTTTCGAATATGTCGCGTCAGTACTAGTTGCTCAATATTTTATTCATCAATACCAATCAATAGATTTAATGAACTTTTTGCTCTTTTACTGTTTTTATATTTTTTTCAATTTTTTGGTGTTTTATTTTTTCTTTGGAAAATTATTATTTGGAATATGTCTCGTTTTTATGTCGAATATTCTAGCAATTGAGAGTTTTAATTGATTTTTTCAGTCTAGATTTTTCAATTTTTCATTAAGAATTTTCGATATGTTCTCATTTTTTTTTGGAAATTCCTGGAAATCGATGGATTAAATTGACGTGAAAAAATATATCGATTTTAAATTTTATCATTATCCAACGATTCACGAATTTTTATGGCCTTCCAAATTTTTGATAATAATTGGATTGGTTAATGAAGTACTGAATCAACTAGATCCTCAGAAATTCATTGAAAAAACAATGAGAAGATATGATCACCTCACCACAAAACTCGATTCTTCGAAATGCAATTTTAATGACTTGAAAATTCTTTAAACACAAAGATACATCACGACATTATTCGCATAATTTGTACTGAATAGCAATACAACTCATAGCTTGAAACAGCACATAACACCGGTGAGAATAAAGCCCGACGAAAATATCGGCCACAGGAAAATCCCGGATTGGCGTAGAGAGAATAAAAAAATCCAACGAATCATTACGAATTCTTGTTTTATCTCACGAACACCTAGGTGACGATAGGGAAGTAACACGAGCCCATTTAGTACCAAGAATCCCCCCACCAGGTCATCCGGAGTCACAAAGAATGCCTCTCAACTCCTCTGTTTACAATTTTTTTTCCCCTCGTTGGACTCCGCACGTCGAATGTTTTGACTGAAAAGAAAGAAAAAAAAAATAAGTTCCACCGAAGGAGAGAGCACTGGAGGAGAAAAATCGTCGTCGTAGCCGGTCTATACCTGCATTACCTGCATGAATAACCGATTCCCGGGTGTTCCGGGTGTTCTTCCGCGAATTATCACGATCACAGATACCAAAATTGAAGATGACAGTGAATGATGATGAAAATTCAAATAACTGGGAAAATAAATTCTTACCGATGGAGCACATAACACCAGGAGGTGTAGTCCACGTCGTAGATCCTCCTGTGGAGGGTGATGTCCGTTACCAGCTCACCAGGTGTCCCGTACGATTTGACTGTTGAGCGTCGACTGACCGGTGAAGTGGACGAGTGTTGGCTCCACGCGTTATACCCTGACGGGGGGGGTCTAGGAGTCTATCGATGTCAATGTAAAGCCGTCGCCAGTCACCCATACCCCATCTACACTCTTCGACTTTGTCCTTACCCCAGGGTTTTCGTTATCCTTACCAGCAAGGATCGATCCGGTACCAATGCTCCAGGGTTTAATCTGGGGCCTCATCATCACGTGGTGCTCTGTCAAGTCAAGTCATCAGTGAACTCCATCACTGGGTCATCAAATTTTTCATCAAGGCCAGTGTCAAATTCGGAGTTTCCAATAGAATGATGGAATCCCATTGATAAATTTACCTGATTTCACCTGAGGATTAACTTGAAATAAAAATGCGAAAATACCAATGATAATTGCGATGTGCGGCAAAAGCAATTGATAAGAGCGGGCATAAATATCGGCTTGTCAATGCAGGATAAATGGAGAAAAGTAAACCAGCAGAAAAAGAGAGTACAACGTAATACCGTACAATTTACCTGGAAAATGATAATGTGGTAAATGCAGGGGGGTAGGGGGTGGTTAATTCATCCCCCTCGTTCGTGCAAATTACAACTGGCGATTCAGCCATCTGTTCATTACTCACCTACGACAAGTGCATTGTCCAGTGGTTTTTCTCATACCACAAGGATTTTCCCCTTTTCTCGGTTTCTCACCCTTGAAGAAAAAAAAAAAAAATGATAGGGGATAGTAAATTTGCTGGATATCCCACCTTATAAATTCTTCATAGCCCTGAAAGGCCCTTTCAGTCACTCGTTCCCCCATTTGTTCTGCATCAAATCACTATCTTTTCACAATGTTTATAGTGTTGGCACTATTTTTTATACATTTTTTTTAATTTCCGGCATCTGTCACACTGTGAAATTCCAGGGAAAAAATAGTAAAAGTTGGATAGTAATAAAACTTTTTTACAAGTGACTCGCATTGGATTCGCACAGCCCCTGGAATGGAGAAAGTTAAATTTATTATTCTCTATTGCCATCTTTGTCTGGACATTATTATTATTATTAAATGGTGGGTATTATGAGAGCTGGGGTAGGCAATAGTTGAGCGACCGTTGGGGTCACCAGAGAGTGTCGTGACCCCTCTTCGATCTGCACTAAAGAGTCCAATCGATTTGGAATTTCACTTCTCTATCCCCCGACCAATCGCTGCTTAATTCGTATCGAACAAACAGTCTGAATGCAAGAGCGACTGGTGCATGACATCTCACCCCTAGTATTATTTCGTTGATAAGTGATTATGGCGAGAAATTCAGTGCGAACATCTGATAAAAATGGGGTGAGAGCTCCAAGAGTCAGCAGCGGCTCCAGGATATCCTCTGGGGGAAGGGGAAGCGCTCACAGAGCTAATTCTGCACCACCCAAGAAAAGCACTTCAAATCTCCGGGATGTATGTTGAATTTTTTGATTTAACAAGTCATTAATTGAGATCATTTGGAAAAAAATTGAATTGATAAATTAATTGGTTGTAGGCAAATAAAATTCGCATTCCTTGTGGCAAAATTCCGCAGAAGCTTCCAAAATCGGCGAAGATAATAACAAAATCGGAATATGACTATTTCCGAACCCGTGCACTCGACGGTTTGCAAACCAAAGAGGAGAAAGATGCGGCGCATTTCCAAATGGAGAATGAAAAGTCGCGATTGCTTGCAGAATCGATGGCGAGAAAAGAGGAGATAAAACGTATAGACCTTGAAAAACGGAGGGATAAACCCCTCAAGTTGGATGACTTGGAGGCAGAAGCAAGACGAAAGACAATGCACCTCCTGGAGAGAGCGTACGATTTGAAACTGGAACAAGAGGAGGAGATCCAGATGTGCAACAGACTCATCCTCGAGACAAAGTGTCGAGCAATCCGCGACCTCCAGGTGTCCGAGAAGAGGATAATCGAGAAAGAGATGAACGACGAGGAGAAACGACTCAATCAGATGATGGAGAACGAGAGAAAGCAGAAGCTCCAGGAGGAGGCGAGGAAGGACGAGTTGGAGATGGCACGCCGTAGAAAATACGCTCGACTGCTTCGTAATCAGATTCTGGAGAACGAGGAGCAGAAGATCATTGAATTCGAGAGGAAGCAGGAGGAGGGAAAATTGATAAATCTGAGTAATATCGCGTGGCAGGACGAGGAGATTGCCAAGGCGAAGAGAAAAGAGGAAGAGGTGATGCGAGCGCGAAAGCAATTGATTATTGAAAATGAGAAGCTCAAGAGATTCAAGGAGATGCAGAGAGAAGAGCAGAGGATCCTCGACCTGAGGATTCGTGAGTACCAGAAGAATAAAGCAGAGAGGGAAGCAGCCATCGAGGAGGAGCACAGGCTAGCAAAAGCGAGAAAGGACAGGGAGAGATCCAGGATGGCAGCCCAGGCCCAGCAGGCTACCGAACTCCAGTCGCAGATCGATGAGCTCAATGCTGCTCGACTCCAGGAGGAGGTGGATCGTGAGTGGCGACGAAAGGAGAAAGAGACTGCCCTCAAGCGTCTGGAGATCAGGAAAAATCTGGCAATTGCTCGAGAGGATCAGATCAACTACAGGAAGATGCTACAGGCGATGGAGATCGAGCGAGAAAGGCGAGAATTTCAGAAGATACTCCAGTACCAGAAGGAGGCAATATGCAAGGAGCAGAGGGAGAGGGAGGAACGGCACAGGGAGGCTCTTCACCATCGCACTGTTATTTTGAAACAGGTCAATGAGAAGGAGAAGGGAAAATTGGAGATGAGGAGGAAGATGTTTGAGGAGGGGATGGCCATCAGGGCGGAGATGGAGACGAGGAAGAAAAGGCTCAGAGATGCCATGGAAAAGAAGTGCAAGGAGATGGAGGTCAATAATGTACCGGAGGTTTACATTAATGATGTCAGAGCTATGATTGATAAAGTTCAATGAGTCGTGGTTTTATTAAAATTTTATTCAATGATCTTTTTATATGGTACATATTATTATTATTATTATTGTTATTATTATTTCCACAGCATAACGACATTCGAATCCTTCTCGACTGTATCCTCGATCTGGGCTGCGGATTGCCCCGTCGTGCAGCAGATCTCGTCGAGGCTGTACGAGCCTGTGAAATATTTGTAGATCGAGTCTGATCGAGAGTCATCTTCCTCCTCAATATCTCCGCAGTTGCCTTTTATGTAGATTGGATACTGCAATTGTTTTAATTAATTAATTTTTCAGGTTTAAGGGTGTGGAACATCTTTAATTTATTTTATTAATTGTGGGTGAAATTACTCTGTAGACTCGGCGAATGAGGGCCTCGATCAAGCCGAACTGGACGAGTCTTCTCTCATTGATTCTCAGGTTCTGGGGATTCAGTCGCTGGCACAAATCCCTCATACTAGTCCCATGAGTCATACTAGCGTACATTCGATAAATATCTCTCAAATATGCGGGTTGTCGAGCTATGAATATTCAAAGGGACAAGTTCATTAATTTTGGTTAATTATAATTTTTTGGGGAAGGGTGAAATAATGAATGAATGAACTCACGTGATTTTGAGGTATAACTGATGCACCTCTGCTGCAGAATGTAGTCCTCGGCTAGTTCCTTGAGCTTTGGAGTGGTAGCATAAACATTGCTGTATTGAAAGATGGGAATGAGGGTGACGACACCGTAATATACTAAATTCTGTACGCAACTCTTAACGAGATTATTCTCAACGTCGGCCTCAGCTGCGATTCTGGCGACGTGATTGAAGCCATCGATGTAGGGAAGTACCTGCTGAGTGGTGAGATCCCACTGGTCGCTGCAGTAGGCCTCCTTGCCCTCTAAAAAAATTGGCACTTGGTGATCGAGCACTGGCTTCGGCTCAGCGGCAAGACGAACGACCTTCAAATGAGTTGTCATCGTTCCCTCGGTCAGGATGCACATCTTGTGGGTATTCAGGTCGTTCATCACTTGTCTCAGCATTTCCGAGAGGCGGGATTTATCCTCTGAGACTGAGGAGAGAAAGCAATTCTCCACTTCCAGAGCCATCTGAGATGTTATCCAGAAATTTTCAAATTTATATCAATGGGTTTTGAAGGAAAATGGAAAATACTAGATTGTTTACCAAAAAATCAGACATTTTCTTGACGACAGGTTCGTAATGAACAGTTCTGGCCTCTGCATCACAGACGAAACACAGATTGAAGTAAAATGCATTTCTCGCGTATTTTTTGTCGTCAATTTTCACTGGGAAGCCAAGGATTTTGCAATCTCTCAGAGTCCTGTCTGATAAAAATTCCATTAGATGTTTATCACATTGTTTAAACATTTTCAAGGGCTTACACAGTGATGGTACTCCTCTGCAGCTGTGCTTTCGGTATAATATAAACCGAGACATTATCAAAAATATCCTTGGAGACATAATTATCAGGCACCTGTTCTAAAAACACCAAAAAACCATTAACAACCCCCCGAATCAGCTGTCCCACCAAAATAAACAAACCTGACAGGTGATTTTTGGACCAGCTATGTGATGAAACTCCGAAAAGAAGATGCACCTGATTGCACTCTTGTCCTCCCTGGAATCATCGGTGTCACTCCCACTGGTGAGCATCTCCTCGTGTTCTCCATGTGTCATCAGCACCTTCAAACCCTCTAAAACCCTGAAAACAAATCTCCCAACTAACCTCAATGAAACTCCAAACCACTCGACCCTTTCCTAAACTAATTGGAGCACGACCTTGAGTCTTGCACAATGTAAACAAAATCGAGACGAGTTTATCCCCTTATTTACTCAGCGAGGGAATATTCGAGGAGTTCCCCCAGTGATTAACAAGGTCAGTGCACAACAAAGGAGTTCGAAGAATCCGTGCAACACTGCCTTTATGAAATTATTACTGTTATTTGGGTTACATCATCACTATATCTGAATGATAAAGTGTTTTTAAAGAGACCAAGGAGAACGCACCAGAGACGAGCTGAGGGAATAAATTGTGTAATTGATTTATTTCGTAATTAACACGAAATGACCATTAGTGTTCACTGGCCAGCACTAGCTGGGGTGATTCACCCGAATATAGGGGGTTGGGCTGGGGCAGTCATCACCAGGAGGAATATCAACCCCTGGTACGAGGTGAGAATCTCGATTTGTTCCTTGAGGCAGAGCTTGACATTTTTTTTTTCAGTCGCTGAAGAAGCCGTCCTGGACACCACCCAAATGGGCATTTGGTCCGGCCTGGACTTCGATTTATTGCTCCGTGGGATATGCCTCTTACTTGGTGCATCGGGATGGAGGGGGTTTCAAGGGTGCTGTCCTTCCTCTGTCCATTTATGGGGCTAATCTCGCCCTCAATTGGGCCTGGACACCGATTTTCTTTGGTTGTCACAACATCAAAATCGTAGGTTGAACATTTTATCGTTGAGATATGAGAATTGAGGGATTACTTATCGATTTTAGGCCCTCTATGAAATCGTCGTCCTCTGGGGATCGACCATTGCCCTCGCGGTAGCTTTTCATCAGGTGAATCCAGTAGCTGGATATCTCGTTCTGCCTTACATCGCCTGGAATACTCTGGCAACAGCTCTCAATTATGTTATCTATCGTGATAACCAGGAGACTCCAGCGATCGAAGATAAGAAAAATTAGATGCACCAGGTGCCTTGACATTCCCAACACATTCCAGTTCACAAGTTTCCCCTAGATATTTTTAACAAAACGAATAAACGAAACAGAGGTAATTGGGGTAAAATGAACACTAGACTTTTTTTTTTAATATTCATAATTATTATTTTTCCCAAAAAAAAGCCAATTTCAAATCAAATCAATGAGTAAATAATTCAGAAATTTCAGAATAGTCAAGTGAGAAAATGAACTTCTCCAGTTACATGTCGAGTAATGGGAAAAAAATATTGATTTGAATAAAAATTCTAGTGTCTACTTTACTCCTCAGGTACATGAAGAATAAATTCATAGTATACACATGTTTATTACTTTATACGAAATAAAGATTGATAGATCACGGTTATTACATTATTTATAGCTTTTGTTTCATGTAAATAAATCGAAGGATAACCATCACTCATCACCACCTCCTGATATATTTTGCTTGTTTGCTCGTCGATCCTTCTCATTGCATCGTTCATTCACTTAATTATGATTTGGATACAGTTAAACAGGGGATCGATAATCGATCCTGTGGATTTGTCGATTTACACAAGCGTTACGTGGGATCAGTCGCGTAAATGTATCCCTGCTGTTGGAGGACGTACAGTCGTTTCTCCACTGCTGATTTATCTGGGATTGAAATTTCCAATCAATCAGCAAATTAATTAAATTCATGGGGTCATTGTTTAACAAATTATTTTCCAATGATCTCTTACATTTTATGAGGAGCGCCCTGTCTTGACTGTGGCTCACGTGCTGTGATAATGAGTGCAGGAGAATTTGGGCTGTGTGATAACGCTGGAAACACTCGGCTGGATTACCGAATAGTTCGTCGAGAGCTGCTGATTGACACTGCAATGAATTATCGATAAAATTTTATTAATATATGAATATTAATAATTAATATTATCTATCCAATGTAATCTCTACTTTCAATTTAATCTTATCAATTATAAATTATTACAGATAAATCATTAAAAATGCTCAACAATTTTTCCTCTTGTCCATAATAATTTTTTTTTGTTTTGTAATCATTGGAGTGATTTTTATTGTTAGAAATATTTAAATCGAAGATAAAATTAAAATGAAAGATTACGTTTGACAAATAATACCATTTGTATCGCATGATTGTAGAGAATTTTGTCAGCAGTAGAGAGGGTCTGTCTGAGTAATCCAGCGCTATTGAGTTGTTTGCACTCGGCGAGACACGATCTAAATTTATCATTCATGGTGCTAACGACCTCTTTGACACTGGCTGTGGGTTGAAGTCTGCCAGCTTTGAGCTGTTGCGTAGCTAGACTGAGACCAGAGCTGAGCCACTGGAGTGCCCTCACGAGTAAAATCACCTGTTCACCCCTTCTCTTGGTGGCAGCATTGGTGGCTTGCTCAAGGCCACCGAGAGGAGCCCCGAGAGGTCCAGCACGAGTTCTGGCGACTTCGGAGACACAATCGCAGAGGGCAACGACGAAATTCAATTTAGCGAGTATCTCGTTGTGCTCTCTCTCGAGGAGGGTCTCCTCTGGGAGCTCTGGTGCGATGAAGGTGAGGGGACGATCGTCGGAGGAGCCAGCATTGAGCTCGGGGAAGAAACTTTGAAAGCTGCCAGCCTCTGATATTTCAGGAAGTGTAATTGCACGAGTGCCGAAGGGAATGATAGGTGAGTGCCTCAGGGTATTGTTATTATCCTGAAGGGCTCTAGCAGTTGGTGAACCAAGAACAGCGAGAGGTCCAGTGAGGAGTGGTGAGCTGGCGCTGTTATTTACTGATGATCTTCTCAGGGGTGAAGCACCAGAGGACAACTGCGAGTGCCTGGCCACAGGACTCACCTGCCACGTATTGGGTGGCGGTGGAGTTTCACTGAGACGTCTTCCAGGGGGTGTCCCAATGACAAATTGAACACTGGGTGGACTGAGTGAGCCAATATCCACCGATGGATTTCTGTGTGAATCGACACTCCTCTTCATGCTGATGGGCTGTGACCTGGGAACCACTGAGCTCGATCCACGGCCTGGTGATGATTGCTGGACACTACTCCGTTGGCTTGGCACAGGTATGGGCTCAGAGATTGGTAAAAAACAGGGTCGAGGTGGTGAAACAGCTTCTCTACTTCCCTGCTTGGTTAATTTACCGTGGGGGTTGGGATTATTATCGGTATCGCTGCTCAGATCACTGGGAACGAGAACAAAGTCATCCTCGGGGCTTGAGCAGGGGCTCTGTGCCTCTGGATCAGACAGGGCAACAGCACCTGGGATCTGGGGCTCAACAGCCTCTGGTGACGCTGGCAATTCCACAGGGACGAGACTCGGGCTCTCTCGTGGGCCCTCGAGGAACGTGTGACTGAAGAAATCCTCGAAGGACATTCTGTCCCTCGCGTTTCTCCTCAGGAGACCCATCAGCAGATGTGATAACTCTGGAGACGTGCCTGGGGGGATCTTCGGACTCAAATTTGCATTTTTCTCGTAGAAGAGTTTCAAGGCCTGGGGTGTGTGGGCCTGGAATGGTGCTTTTCCAGTTAGACATTGAAATACTATTGTTCCCAAGGACCAGAGGTCGGCTTTAGCGTCGTATTGGATGGACATTATGACCTCTGGAGCCATGTACATGGGGGAGCCGCACAGGGTTGCTGCCATCACACCGTCCTGAAGGAATCTGGCAAAGCCAAAGTCAGCTGGAAGCATTCATACATTTTTTTATCAATTATTCTGTCATTTTTCTTTTATTCTTTGACATTTTTACCAATTTTTAAAGTGATCTGATGAGGTTGGGGGCATGTCTTGCCACAGTTGTGACTCAGCAAAATATTTTGGGGCTTCAGATCTCTGTGGACGACGCCTTTGTCATTGAGAGCCTTCATGGCACCTGCCAGTTGCTTCAAAAATAATCTGATTGTGTCTTCTGAGAGAGTACCCTTTGCTAAAATTCAATAACCAAATGATATCATGGATTTTTCGAAATTTAAAGCTGTTTAGGTGACTTACCACCGAGATAATCAGCCAGATCACCACCATTGCAGTATTCCATCACCAGGAAGACATTATGATTCGATTCCTGGAGCGGAAATAATTATCAAGAATTAATTTACATCCCCCCAATGATTTTCCATTGTTCCTGGGACTCACCTTGCAATCCAGCAGCGCGACGACATTCTCGTGATGCAATTCCGTCAATTCCTGAATAAAAAAAAACATAACAATTCATGACAACAGACATTACCATGATTTCGACATCCAACACACCTTCAGAATTTTTATTTCCTTGCCGAGTAAATTTTGAGACTTCGCCAGGCTTTTCTTCGTAATGCTCTTGATGGCAACGATGAAATTAGCTTTCTAAAAACAAAAAAACAATACAAGAATAATAAATTCCAGAGCAATTCAAAGAGAATAACGAGAATGGGAATGAGACAAACTTTTCTGTGTCTGCCCCTGAAGACGACGGCAAAGGCTCCATGTCCAATGAGATCCTTGGTATTGTACTCGTAATCACCGACAGTCTCCATAATTGAAGATGATTAAAAAATTCAAAAAAAAAAAAAACAACGGAAATAGCCCACCTTGTGAGGAGCCGAGAGGTCAAAAGTTTACAAACACGCTGTCACGACTGGTATCATTGCACCGTTGGGATCAATACGAAGGATAAACCCCACGGATTCTCGTCTCCATTACTCTCGGTAGGATAAAAAAAAACAAAGTAAAAAAATAAACAACAATGAGAACACTTGGGGCTACATGCTTGTTGAGTTAATTGGTGATAGGCACTCGTTGACTGGTGGATTCCATCGTGATTATTGTACTTTCTGGTTAATATTCTTGTGACAAATTGATACGCAACACAACGGGTACAAGCGACTCATGGAGAACTCGTCAGAACTCGTAACGGAGTCGCAAAATGTCAGTCGCTGGTAAAGTGGGGGCGGTGAAGGGGTGGAAGGAGCAAAAGGGAGGAGAGGGCGTGCATGCGCAGTCAGCTGTGTTTCAAGTGGAACGAAACTGAGAGATCTTCTTTCAAGAAAGTAGACCGACCTGTTTTTTAGGTTAAAAAGTCATTTTGTGTTTGTTGTTTTGAGGTGTTTCGGGGCTTTTCCAGGTGTTTTTGTCAGAATTGACTCTTGAGATGAGGAATTACAAGAGGAAAACTGACAGACAGAGCTGGAGCTCCACGGATATGGCACAGGCTATTGCTATGGTTGTCGAGAAAAAATTGGGGATTAATAAGGCTGCACAGTTATTTAATGTTCCAAGTACTACATTGCAAAATCGAGTTAAGAAGTATCAGAGTGGGTGTTCCCTCGAGGAAGCTGCGAAGAAAGGTGAATTTTTTGAGGATGTAGGGGGGATTTGATGATTTTTTTTGAGAGAGATCAGGGTGATAGGTGGAAAAAATGTCCTCTGGACATTGTGCCGTGGAGATTCCCGTCTAGGATATTTTGTACGAAATGGGAAGGAGATTGTGCTTGATTGGAAATTACTTCAGATTGGTAGATTGAAAATTCTATTGTCTGTGTTTTTTTTTTGAGGGTTTTTTTTTTCGAACTTTAAGATGAGCCCCGATTTTTGAAAATCTCATCGTTCAATCTGTTGTTGATCATAAATTTTCAGGACTTGGAAAATTCAAGGCCATCTTCACTGAGCTGCAGGAGAAGTGTCTCGTGGAGTACATTCAGCAGGTGCAAAAGACTAATACTGAAAAATTTACAACGAAAGACCTGAGGAAATTGGCGTACCAGCTGGCGGAGAAGTGCAATGTCCAGCACAAGTTCAACGCTGAGGACGGCATGGCAGGATTGGACTGGTACACTGGATTCATGAAGAGGCACCCGGAGCTGTCATTTCGCAAGCCCAAGAATTCGGAAAATTACCCAGATCATCACGACTGTCTCGAGATCATCCTGGAGGAGCATGAGATCAAGGTCGAGCCCGTTGACCCACCAAAATCAGCCACATAACACAAATAAACCGACGAATCTCGACGATTTAAGATTAAGGGACATTTATCATGGATATATTATTATTTTCACTATCTATCGTGTAATCTATACAGTAAGTCTCCAGTATTATTCAGTTATGATTATGTGGGATCATTTTTTTTATTTATTGTCACGTCGATCCATTAGGTAATTGATATAAAGTCGAAATATATGGAATATGTGAAATATTTGTGGCGAAAAATCCTTTTCCTTCCCTAGAAATCAGTAATCAATTCCTGGGCGGGAGGTAAAGAACAAATTTGAAAATTGCAGTTGCACATATCGATTCCTGGAGTATCGATATGACGTGGAAATGCTTTTAACTTCACTCGGCTGTTTAATAGCTCTGAGAGACAGAAGCCCTTATTACGGAGCAGGCCGGAATAAATTAATTGATCGCAATCAATACTCACGGGCACTGATTGATTTTTCGGAGAAGTGCTACAGTGATTATCGGTGAGGAGAGAATAAACGACGAAGTGCGGGGCCTCTGGGTCTTCTAGGGCCACTATGGACTCCATTCCACGAACACACGAAGGTAATTTCACGAATTTCCCCCCTGTAATTCCTTTTTTTTTACATTTACAATTAACCAAAAATAATGATTTCATATTTCGATGATTGAGTAATCGATAATTGATGATAATTAAATAATTAATGTAGATTGGAGGGAATTGAGATTGTTAGACGCTTGAGGTTATGTTGCGTCAAAGTTTGGTCTTGGGGTAGCCCATTTTCAATTGCACGAGTGCATTTTTCTTGCAGACATTGAAGCACAGATCAGGGAAATCCAGTCGAAGAAGAAGGAAATCCAGAATGCTACGACCGAGAAGGAGCAGGTCGGCCTGGGAAAGACGGGCTTCTACGATCAAGACATTTACGATGGTAGCAATAACAAATACGATGGATACGTCACGTCGATAGCTGCTAACGATGAAATTGAGGTAAGAAATATATACGGGAAAATTCTCCCAGAAATTGATTAATAAACTTTTTCACTCTTCAATTTCAGGACGAAGATTACGAACCCACGTCATTCTCCACGAAGCAGAGGTCTGGGTACACAGCCCCTGCAGCACTCCTCAACGATGTTGCCCAGGTAAATAATTCCTGACGATGAAAAAATGACGTTTATCTCTTGGTTGGTAACGATTTTTATTTTATTTTACAGAGTGAAAAAGAGTACGATCCGTTTGCAGACAGACGTAGACCAACGATAGCCGACAGAGAAGACGAGTATCGTCAGAAACGTCGTCGCATGATCATATCGCCCGAGCGAGTTGATCCGTTTGCCGAAGGTTTGTTACTCATTCCCGACTAACTTTATTCACTATCCATTAACCTAGTCTTAAGTGAGTCAATTAGACAGATAAAACCAATGCAAGAATGACCAGAGCTAATGCTATTGTCAAACGGTCAATGGTTCTTGCATTTTTTTTTTGAATGACTGATGAGTGAATGGACGTTTGTCTGCCACGAAATATTTAGTTTTCAAGGTTTATACTAATGTATGAAATTTGTTTTCCAATCTTAGTGACGGTCTGCACAATTGGAATCATCCGCTTTCCCAGGATGCCTATGTCCAAGGTTAAACAGAGAAATCTCACGCGATGCAATTTTTTTATTTTTATCGGGACATGTATTTTTTCATGACTCAAGGATTCAAAGCTATATTAATTCTCAAAATATAAAATTTGCAATTGAAAAATATCCTTGATACATTGAAAATCTCTGGGTCGTGTATAAAAAAATTTGCATAATGATCATTTATTTTTCTTTATTTTGAAAATAATGTACAGAGTATCTAGTATGAGTGGTTCATGAATGAAACAGGAAGACAAATTAATATTAACGAGAAATGAGTTGATTTTTAGATGGCATTTGAATAAAAAACATGGAAGAGATGTGAGCAGGACATAATGTGATACCTGTGCGACCAATAAGAAACCCCATCACGTACGTATTTATAAAATGCCCTATCGGCTACTGTTGCAGCTCTTTATCTTCCACTCAAGTCCAGAAATTTGAAAAATTCATTGAATAAATTTTCATATGTTAATTGGTACTTGAGAGAGGGAGAGGGCCAATTCAGTAGCCTGAAGCATCAAGAAGACGAGTTAAAGGGCATTTGAATTTTCTAAAATTCTATCGACTAGGGAATTACGAATTTCCGTTCATTTCAATAATCAAGAGAGGATTTTAATTGGGAAACTAATGACTAATCGTTGCGCTTCGCGTGACATTTGATTGGTGGTTACAGGTGGAAAAACACCGGACATCGGCTCGAGGACATACACCGAGATTATGCGAGAGCAGTTGCTCAAAGGAGAAGAAACTGAGGTAAATTCATTAATTTATTAATTTATTTTTCCACTTCAGAGGTTCAATACAATTTTTCCAAATTTTTCTGTTGCAGTTGAGAAAGAAAATCGCTGAAAAAGCTAAGGATGGCACTCTCAAGGCCAACGGTGAGCCAAAACCTGCCCCCAAGAAACGAGGAAGGTGGGATCAGACTGAGGATGCACCGGCTGTGAAAAAACCTGCTGGAACAGTCGCCACACCAACTTCATGGGACAATGCTGACGTGAGTGTAATTTTTAAAATATATTTTTATACACGCGAGCGCGCGCATTATGCATCTAGTCGATAATGATGGAGAGAAATTTTGAATTTTTTCAGGTAACTCCAGCGGCAGTTCGATGGGACGAGACTCCAGGTCACGGCAAGGGTGGAGAAACACCTGGTGCAACCCCAGGAGTCTCAACTCGGATGTGGGAATCAACTCCAGGTCACGCAACGCCCGGAGCAGTGACACCGGGTCGTGACACTCCCTCTCACGACAAAATAATCACAAGTCGTAGAAATCGTTGGGACGAGACACCGAAAACCGAGCGAGAGACTCCAGGTCACAACAGTGGATGGGCAGAGACACCACGAACAGATCGAGTAGCTGGTGATCTCATACAGGAGACACCAACTCCATCGGCCTCGAAGAGACGCTCCAGATGGGACGAGACCCCGTCAAATCAGACTCCAGGATCAATGACACCACAGACACCAGCGACTCCTCTGACCACACCTCACCAAACAATGATGACACCTAGTGCCGTGACACCAACGGGTCCCAAGGCAATGGGCCTGGCAACACCAACACCTGGGCACCTAATGTCAATGACACCTGAGCAACTCCAGGCGTACCGCTGGGAGCGTGAAATTGACGAGAGAAATCGTCCCCTCTCTGACGACGAGCTCGATGCTCTGTTTCCACCAGGTTACAAGGTACTTCAGCCCCCAGCTGGTTATATACCAATCAGGACACCAGCGAGAAAGCTCACGGCAACCCCAACACCAATATCCGGTACACCCCAGGGCTTCTTCATTCAGACTGAGGACAAATCCTCAAAATTCGTGGACAATCAGCCAAAGGGAAATTTACCTTTTATGAAACCAGAGGACGCCCAGTACTTCGACAAACTCCTGGTGGACGTTGACGAGGAGTCGCTGAGCCCTGAGGAGCAGAAGGAGAGAAAAATCATGAAGCTACTCCTGAAGATAAAAAATGGTACTCCACCGATGAGAAAAGCAGCCCTCAGACAGATAACAGATAAAGCAAGGGAGTTTGGTGCGGGTCCTCTGTTCAATCAGATTCTACCCCTGCTGATGTCACCGACCCTCGAGGACCAGGAGCGTCATCTCCTCGTTAAAGTGATAGACAGAATTCTGTATAAACTGGACGATCTGGTGCGCCCGTACGTCCACAAAATTCTGGTGGTGATCGAGCCACTATTGATCGACGAGGATTATTATGCCAGAGTCGAGGGCAGAGAGATAATATCGAATCTGGCCAAGGCAGCGGGTCTTGCCACGATGATCTCCACGATGCGTCCTGACATCGACAACATCGACGAGTATGTCAGAAATACAACAGCCAGGGCTTTTGCTGTGGTTGCATCAGCCCTGGGAATTCCATCGCTCCTGCCATTCTTGAAAGCCGTCTGCAGAAGTAAAAAATCCTGGCAGGCAAGGCACACTGGTATCAAAATAGTCCAGCAGATTGCCATTCTCATGGGTTGTGCTATACTTCCACATCTGAAGAGTCTCGTTGAAATAATTGAGCATGGACTGGTTGATGAGCAACAGAAAGTCAGGACAATTACAGCTCTGGCGATTGCTGCACTGGCTGAGGCTGCCACACCGTACGGCATCGAGAGCTTTGACTCGGTCCTCAAGCCCCTGTGGAAGGGCATCAGGACCCACCGAGGAAAGGGTCTTGCTGCCTTTCTCAAGGCTATTGGCTATCTCATTCCATTGATGGATGCTGAGTACGCGAATTATTACACGAGGGAAGTGATGCTGATTCTGATAAGAGAATTTCAGTCTCCGGACGAGGAGATGAAGAAAATTGTCCTCAAGGTGGTGAAGCAGTGCTGTGGTACCGATGGTGTTGAGGCACAGTACATCAAGGACGAGATTCTACCGCATTTTTTTAAGCATTTCTGGAATCATCGGATGGCCCTCGACAGGAGGAACTATCGACAGCTGGTGGACACAACTGTGGAGATTGCCAATAAGGTCGGGGCCTCTGAGATTATTAATCGAGTGGTGGATGATCTCAAGGACGAAAATGAGCAGTACAGGAAGATGGTGATGGAGACGATTGAGAAAATCATGGGTAACCTGGGGGCTGCGGATGTTGATTCGAGACTTGAGGAGCAGTTGATCGATGGTATACTCTACGCATTTCAGGAGCAAACCACTGAGGATGTGGTTATGCTCAATGGTTTTGGCACGATCGTCAATACCCTCGGGAAGAGGGTGAAGGCATACCTACCCCAAATATGCGGTACCATTCTCTGGAGATTGAACAATAAATCGGCAAAAGTACGACAGCAGGCTGCTGACTTGATATCCAGAATTGCTGTTGTCATGAAGACGTGTCAGGAGGAGAAACTCATGGGACACTTGGGGGTCGTACTCTACGAATACCTCGGTGAGGAGTACCCAGAGGTGCTTGGCAGCATCCTGGGAGCACTCAAGGCCATTGTAAATGTCATTGGAATGACGAAAATGACACCTCCTATAAAAGATCTCCTCCCCAGGCTCACACCAATACTCAAAAATCGACACGAAAAAGTCCAGGAGAACTGCATTGACCTGGTGGGGAGAATAGCTGACAGGGGGCCTGAGTATGTCTCCGCCAGGGAGTGGATGAGGATCTGCTTCGAGTTGCTGGAGCTCCTGAAGGCACACAAAAAAGCCATTCGTAGGGCAACAGTTAATACCTTCGGTTATATTGCCAAGGCCATTGGTCCCCACGATGTCCTGGCAACACTTCTCAACAACCTCAAGGTCCAGGAGAGACAAAACAGGGTGTGTACCACCGTCGCCATTGCCATTGTCGCTGAAACCTGTAGCCCCTTCACTGTCCTCCCAGCTCTGATGAACGAGTACAGAGTACCAGAGCTCAACGTCCAGAACGGTGTCCTAAAATCTCTGAGTTTTCTCTTCGAGTACATCGGCGAGATGGGTAAGGATTACATCTACGCGGTCAGTCCACTCCTGGAGGACGCCCTAATGGACCGAGATCTCGTCCACCGACAGACTGCCTGCGCAGCCATCAAACACATGGCCCTGGGTGTCTATGGATTTGGCTGCGAAGACGCCCTCATTCATCTTCTCAATCACGTCTGGCCGAATGTCTTCGAGACATCACCACATCTCGTTCAGGCATTCATGGACGCTGTCGATGGGCTCAGGGTCGCCCTCGGACCCATTAAAATCCTCCAGTACACCCTCCAGGGTCTATTCCATCCTGCCAGAAAGGTGCGCGACGTTTACTGGAAAATCTACAATTCACTCTACATCGGGGGACAGGATGCACTCGTTGCTGGATACCCTAGGATCCTCAATGATCCAAAAAATCAGTACATTCGGTATGAACTCGATTATGTACTGTAATTAGCTACACCTAATCGACAATAGATCATCACAATCACGACTACTGTTTTCTTATTCTTTAAACAATAATACAATTGTTCATGTGGATTTTATGTTTAATATAATTACTGTATATGGAAAAATTGCTGTTTTTATTTATTGTTACCCTTATTATTTATAATTTATCGCGACATTCTCTAATTTGTCGTTATTTTCACTCGGGGATACTGCACCCCAAGAGAGGGAGGACGCCACACGCAATACTGGGGTGTCCATCGAGTTGACGGGGTGAATTTTATTGTCTGCGGTATGAATGCTTTTTGTTTTTAATTGTTTAACTGAAATTTAGTCGACTAGAACGAGCGGAAGGGAGAAACCACATCTTGTGAAATTTTGAATGGAAAAAATTATTCAATATGTAGAAGATATACTCCTAATGAAATTTAATTATTGTAATAATGCGTTATCCTAGCGGTAACGTGCTCGGCTAGCACGCCGACGGCCCGGGTTCGATCCCGCCGTCATTCATTTTTTTTTTTAAATAATTCCAATTTTTCCTTTAGGTAGGTATTCACTGCAATTGAAAAATTTGAAATTTTTGTAAAAGTATCAGGGTAACATGAACATCGAGGAGCTATTCACTGAAATTTTCACTGAGAGTGAAAAATTCGAAATTTTTGTAAAAGTATCAGGAGAACATGACAATCGAGGAGTTATTCACTGAAATTTTCACTGAAAGTGAAAAATTCGAAATTTTTGTAAAAGTATCAGGGGAACATGACAATCGAGGAGCTCTTCACTGAAATTTTCACTGACAGTGAAAAATTCGAAATTTTTGTAAAAGTATCAGGAGAACATGACAATCGAGGAGCTCTTCACTGAAATTTTCACTGAAAGTGAAAAATTCGAAA